GCCGGGGGGGCGGCGGCTGGGAAAGGTAGGTAGGATGGGAAAGCTGGGATGGGGGCCGGGGGGGCGGCGGCTGGGAAAGGTAGGTAGGATGGGAAAGCTGGGATGGGGGCCGGGGGGGCGGCGGCTGGGAAAGGTAGGTAGGATGGGAAAGCTGGGATGGGCCCCGGGGGCTGGCGGCGGCGGCGGCTGGGAAAGGTAGGTAGGATGGGAAAGCTGGGATGGGGCCCCGGGGGCTGGCAGCGGCGGCGGCTGGGAAAGGTAGGTAGGATGGGAAAGCTGGGATGCCCCCGGGGCTGGCGTCGGCATGGCCCTGTCGGCATGCTGTCCTACCCTCTCCCAGCTAGGACAGAACCGCCCCTCTTGCCCATGGCTCACGGCAATACCGCCGCCGCCGCCGTACTGCAATGCTTTGAAACTGAATTGATTTCCGTCGCGGTTTCGCCCAGTCCGAAATTGCGAATCCCACTGTCCACCCTGTGCCCACGGCCCACTGCCACAGCAGCACTGCAACCTCCCTTTGCTGCTGTGCTGCCCCGTCCCGCCCCTGCCAGCTACCCTGGAACCGTGGCAAGCTGCTGCAGAGCACCGTGGGCCGCAGGAGCCATGCGGCGGGAGGCTTGCACAGCGGGCTGCACAGCAGCGGGTGCTCCCCTCTCGGACCCTCTCACTGCCCCGGGACGAGAAACCTCTACCTTGTTCACTGGATACACCCTACCGCGATGGGTCTTTGGCGGCCGGCCACATGGCGGGCTGCCGCCGCCACCTGCCCTACCGCCACCCACCAGCCCGCAGGTAGCAGCCTCGGCAGCCGAGTCAGCAGCAGCGTTGCAAGCGTGGGAGGAGACAGACGAGAGGACGCGGCAGATGGGCTATGCCTTGGGGGCAACGCCACCATATGTGGGCGACGTTGGCGACGAGGAGTTCGAGGAAGAGGAGGAAGAGGTGTACGATGCATACCGGCCGTTCAAGCTGCTGCTGGCAGGAGGTATGCCTCTGCTTGTTGGTGATTGCGGGTGCACAGCAACTGGCACCCTCGTGGCGCCTGGGGACGAGACGTGTGCGTGCACTCATTCCAGACCCTAGGCCATCCCCAGCCACAGCTAATCCCATCGTTCCTGCTGCCGCCTGCAGGAATAGCGGGTGCCGTGAGCCGGACAGCCACGGCGCCCATGGACCGGCTCAAAATGCTGCTGCAGATACAGGACTGCCAGCGAGGGCTGACGATACAGGAGGGCATCCGCAAGATGTCGGCAGAGGGTGAGCTGCCGCACTGTCGCTGCCCCTGTTCTTGTGTGAAATCTGAGCTGCAGCTGCCAGGAGACGTCTTGCGGTTGGCCAACCTGGCGGATGTGGTCTCAACATCACTGCCTCATCTGCTGGGTGTGACGGCACCGTTCTTGCCTCGCCCAGGCACCGTCCATGCGTTTTTCAAGGGCAATGGAACCAATGTCGTCAAGATTGCGCCTGAGACCGCCATCAAGCTCACGCTGAATGATGCGCTCAAGCGGGTGCGTGCTGGTGGCAGCGATCTGCTGCCCTGTACTGGTGCCGCCGCTGCTGCTGCCTGGGGCGCGGGGGAGCCCCGTTGGCAACGCTTTACCTGCCAGCATCGCCACGGCTGCAGGTTGTGGCACCAGACCCCGACGAAATCACGCCTGCGCAGCGCATGACAGCGGGTGCTCTGGCAGGCGCCTGCGCCCAGGCCACGATATACCCCTTTGAGCTGGTGCGCAGCGCTGCTGGGTGGGCCAATGCTGCCTGCTGGGAGGCTGCCCTGATGGTGTGGATGCTGAGGGGCTCGGTCCTCAACACTGCCTGCTGCCTTGTTCCATCCCGCCGCCTGCTCTGCTGTCTGTGCATCCTGGTGCTCATTCCCCCTCTCGTGCTGCCCCATAGGTGCGAACACGACTGGCCGTGTGCGCCACCGATACGTACCTTGGTATCGTAGACTGCGCGCGTAAGGTGCTGGCGCAGGAGGGGTGGCGAGCCTTCTACCGGGGGATGGTGCCCTCCATGCTGGGCATCCTCCCTTACGCCGGCGTGGATATCACCATCTTCGAGCTGCTCAAGGAGCGGCTGCTAGACAAGGTGCCTCTGCGCCCTGCTTCAGCCACCCTCTTTGGCATTTTGCTGCCGGCACAATGATGCAGCCCGGCTGCTGCGCTGCGTCGCCTCACCCCCAGGCTGTCTTGGTGCCCTTGACGTCGGCCGCTGCACATACTGCTGGTATCGTCACCCCCTGCTGCCCCTCTGCTCATGCAGTACGAAGGCACCAACCCGCCGGCTCACATGATCCTGGCAGCGGGCATGTGCAGCAGCAGCATAGCGCAATTTGCGGCCTACCCGCTAGCCCTCACGCGCACTCGGTTACAGGCGCAGGGGATTGGCGGGCGGCCCATCAAGTATTCGGGCATGATGGACGTGCTGCGCAAGACGGTGCAGAACGAGGGTGTGCGAGGGCTGTACAAGGTGGGCAGGGAAGCAGCCCATCTACCGCACGCGCGCGCCCGTCCCTCCGCTGTCCGGTGAACGGCAGCTGCTCTGCTACTGCCAATGTAGCATGCATGTCGCAGCGATTGAACTGCTGCGCCCCTGCCTCCTGTTGCATCTGCAGGGCTCCCTGACAAACCTCGCTAAGGTGGCCCCCGCCGCCGGCATCAGCTGGCTGGTGTTTGAGCAGGCCAAGACGGCCATGGCGGTGGATTTGAGACGGTAACTGGTGCTGCGTCACCCCGCTCTATTGGTCAGGCAGCTATAGAGCAGGGCAGTTGTCGCGAGCGGGCCGATGTCACCTTGCGGGCCAACACCCTCGCCTACCGACTGACAACTCTTATTGATTTTTGAATAAGAGTTGATCCTACCACAAGGGGCAGGCCCCATCTGTCGTGATTTAGTGGTCTCCACTTTCCTTTTAGCACCACAGCCTTTTGGCACCACGTGCCTGCCTCCCTCCTTGGCTCACGTGAGCTCCACGTGCAGGTGGGGCTCGCTGCTGTATCTCGGGGGTCTTTGGTCAGAACCCCGCTTTGTGGCAGGCTCTGTATTACATAGAGAGAGGCCAGGCGGTGGCGGCGGCAGCGCGAAGATGCCCAGCGCACGCAGCAGCCAGGTGTCGCAAGACGCAGACAGAACAACACAGCGCCACAGCAGAGTGGCCGACTGGCGCAGCAGGACGCACCCTAACGAGCGCTGCACGGGCACAGCGGAGGCAGTAAGGTGGGTGGGGGAAGGGGGAGCGCGGGAATGACACGGCGGCGGGAGCTGTGGCTGCCAGCAAAACCGATGGGAACGCCGCTGATGAGGCGACAGACGGCTGATCCAAGCGAAATCTCGTTTTCGTCAGTCTCGGAGAAGTACAAAAAAATCACTCATCCGCTGCTCTGCAGAGCCTTCATCAGTTCCCGAAGCAATTTTTGCGTTTGCACGAGGCTCCGACACTGTTTGTCGAAAAAAATGCAGCACCGCGTCACGGGTAAAGCTGCTCCTCAACCCCTTCCGGCCCGGTTGTGCAACGAGGAACAGCGAAAGAAGCAGCAGGAGGGAGTAAGGAAGAGGAAGGACCAGCGGGAGCCCACGCGTCGCGAGTCCGCCCTCGCCGTCGCCGCGGGTGCGTGGCCGCTGCAGTGCCTTCCACCCTTTGCAGCCCAAGACCGCCAACATTTTGCGTATGCAGGCACTGTGGCGGTGTATGCGAGCATCCAATTAACCATTCGCCTGTTCCATCACATGCGGCGCAAGTTCCTGCGCCGCCTTCTACTCGACCTGTGCTGGGCTCTGAATGAGCTGGCCGCTGAAGGAGCTGTACAGCAGCACTGGCTCGACTTTGGTGCTCTACTTGGGATTTATCGTGACGGCGATGTGGGTGCTGTCTGCTGGATCCATGCCCATCTCCCTCCTGCTATACCCATCCTGTTCTGCCTCCCCCTGCCGCCCATGCAGCTCATTGAGCATGATTCAGACATTGACGTGAGTGTGCTGGAAGTGGCGGATTGGCACAAGTTGCTGATTGGCTTGCAGAGTCGCCTCCCCCAGTACAGCATGCGGGTGGTGATCCCCAGCGATGACCCCAATGCCCGGTTTATTCGCGTATACTGTCACCTGGGCATGGCCGACGTGTTTGGTGCTACGCCGTGCGGCGACGACCGCCTCCTCGTCGATTGGTGGGTGAAAGCTGCTGGGCTGTGGTTGGCAGGGTGTGCCTGTGGTTGAGCGGCCCAGTGACCCATGTGATCATGCATGCCTGGCCGACTCCTTGCTGCCCGCAGCGGGCACGGCAGCTGCACGGAGATTGGGCGGGCAGCGGTCCTCCCCACCGGGGTGCTGGAGTGGCGTGGGCATATGTTAGCAGTGCCGAGAGATGTGCCTGCAGCGCTGGAGCAGCGGTATGGACCTACCTGGCGGGTGCCACGGTAAGCGCAGCAGCCCCACTCATCCACCCAGCACTCCCCATTAAAATTCTCACTTGCTTAATAATGCAGATATGCGGACAAGGGGACAGATGTTATCGAGAGTAACAAGCCCTGTGAGTGTGTTTTTGGGCGACGTGCGGCGTGTGTGGTTGGGCGACATTGTGACTGGGACTGGCTTGCTTGCTGCAGACATGAAGCTGTTCCGTGCTTTGTCTGTCTTCGGCATTCGCATTTAGTAGGGAGGCGGTGCTTGATTTTTAAGTTCATCCAACTGGAAGATCAATGATTGATTAGAGAAAAGATTGATCGAGTGTTCATGCATCCTAGAATATTCATGGTGCCAGAATTTGTTCTTCATAAGAAATGAGCTTCTGTAAATATTGAATGTTGAAAATCCCAACGAAACTCCCAGTGCAATGCCATGCATAGGAAATGCTCAGCAGGAATGCCTTCCAAAGCCGCCCAAAGCAAACGGCCTTCTTGTTGGATCCACCCACAGCGGGCCGCTGGCGAGCCCCAGCTAGCCATAGGCCCGGGCCTGCGGCAGAATTTGGTCCGCGGGTGCACGCACCAGCAGTTGGCCCAAAGGGCGCCTCCCCCTTTCTCTTCGTCGCCCTGATCCCCTTTGTGCGATCGGCGCTGAGGAAGCTATTTGTCGGGCGGAGCATTCGTGCCGTGAGCAAGATGGCGGGGCCCAGCGCCACCGCCACCGCCACGTTCTCGGTGAGTAAACAACAACGCCCACACATCCTACATACAGCCAGTCATTGAACGCACTGTGTTCAATTTGAAGCCATAATGGCATGCCACACGATGCAGGTAAGTACTTTCAACTTCAGGGCCGTAAGCGATCGCTGGCAGGAACGCCAACCTCTCTTGAAGAAGACGTTGAAGAGAATGGATAGCGATGTAGTATGCGCGCAAGAGGTGTTGACAGGCAAGATTTTTGCTGTTAAAGGCAAGAGTTTTGTTGTTGTTGGGGGGGGGGGGGGGGGGGGGATGCTTCGGAGCAACCGCCTAAACAGGAAACTCAGCATGCCTCAAACAGGGAATTCAAAGTCACTTTTTTTTTTCCATGAGCGCAGGCGAGTTTGGCCAGGAACGCCGCGTGCTTCCGCCCGAGTACCACGTTTTTCCGTGCAAGGCCGCGCTCTTCAACCTGGCGCAATCTGGGGGGTTGATGCGCTGGTGGGTCTGGGGTTGCTACGTGCATGTGGAATTGTCTGGGTTGTTGCTTGAAATTTTGCTCGGCGCTGATGCAGGTATGCACATGCTGTCAGCGGGCTGCTGGGCGTGCCGCTCCTCAGGCAAGTCATGGTCAGCCTGCCTGCAGCAGTGGAGGCCTGGCGGGAACGGCTGACCCTTCGGCATGCTGGCTTTCGAGCTGTCAGGCAAGCAGGCAGCAATGGTGAATACCTCATTGATCATTCGCCTGTTTGTTGATGCGGCCGAATTGTTTGCGCCCGAATTCAGCCTTGCTGCTTGGCCATGTGGCCGTGGCTGCGGTGGTGTTTCACAGCTATCTCACAGCTACTGGCATCCCGGCGCCGCCTCTGCCCTCTGCTGCAGGGATCTGGCCATGGCGCCCTTCTTTGGGAACAGCGTGGCCTGCCGCATTGCCGAAGCACATGAGATCAAGCACAGCACGCTGGTGCTGGGAGACTGGCGTGCAGCACAAAGGATAGAGTTCTGCATCGGCCAGTGTGAGGAGGATGTGGAGGGGGCGGCACGGCAGCAGGATGGCACCAGCGGCGGTGCAGCCAGCACGGTCGGTGGTGATGCCACCGGAGGCCAGCGGTCAGTTGTGTCCGGCCCAGGCGGCTTCAAGGTCTGGGTTGTAAATACTCATCTGGACCATGAGCACACCGACAAACGTCAGCGCCAGGTGCGCGCATTTTGATCACATTTCAACCAGTGTTGTGCTGCCCAGTTGGCTGGCAAGATCACCATCTCGCTCGCCCGGGTACGAGCGCCAACCTGTTGTTGCTTTATTTGTTGTTGCTTTATTTCTGTTGTTGCTTTATTTGCATCTCTCTCGTCTGCTCCCCCGCTGCAGGCCCTGGCAGTGTGCGAGTGGATGGACAAGGAGAAGGCCGACTGTTCTGCCATCATCCTGTGTGGTGAGCACTGCAGCAGCTCCCCGCAGCCAGCAGATTGCTGCCTTCTGCTTACTGGACTGCTGAGCAGCTCACAGGCCTCCCCAACCTGTTCAGGTGATTTGAATTCGCCGCCGCATGAGGCCGTTCACTCGGTGCTGCGCCGGCTGGGCTATGTGTCGGCGTATGCGGCGCGGCACGGGCGTGAGCCACAGGCAGGTGGCGCTGCCTCATTCTCAGTGCAGCATAGCCCACGGATGTCCACCTTGCAGTGCTTGCTTCGTGGCTGGAATGTATGGGGAGCACCTGCCCTATGGCCTGCTGCTGTTGCCTCTCCCTGCAGGGCACTTGGCCCACAGGCATTGAGGCGCCGCTCAGGGACACGGGCGACTTTGATTGCCTTGATTATGTGTATGTGTGGACGGCGCCGAATCACACTGTACGTGTGCTGGATGCGGAGGTGTATGGCCTGGAGCCGGCAGAGCACGACGCCACTCTGTTTCCATCCGACCACGCCGCCGTGAAGGCCACCATTCAAGTGTCCAGGAGCGGCAGCAGTGCGCTTGCATGTAGAATATGAACATCACCAGTATCACACTTCGTGTCAGACCAACCCTACCTTCCTCACCCCCACATGCGACGAGCTCGCACACCTGCTGCTCTTCCGTGATGCGTAGTGTGGCATCGTCAATCGCTAGTCATTCAGCTTGCGGCAGCAGAAACAAGAGCAAGTTCGAGGCCGGGGTGCCAACTGACTCCTCTGAACAAACGCAGCCAGTTCAACGCCGTGTGCGTGCGGCGCTCCTGCGACGCACCTTGGCACATAGGACCCCGGCCAGCAAAGGGCGGGCATGCTGCAGGCCGAGCTTGCTTGATCTTCACGCTTGGTGTCGAGAGAACACCTGCAGGCAGGCGGCGGCATCCGGAAGCGCCACAAGGGATTGCACACAATGGTGATCTCACCAATTATATTCAGAGGGACAATAAATGGTGGTGAAAATGCGCCGTGAGTACATCGTTACACCCTGCATGTGTGGCGAAACGGCCGCTACCCCTGCTTCGCATGGCATGCCTGTTGCATTTGCGTTCTTTTCGACAAAGGGTGCTCCTTAGAATCACTCGAGCCCATCTGAGCCCTTCAAATCTCCCACCTTTGGTCGCGCTATCCAAAGCAGACGATTAGACACTTGCGAGGCAGATTGGCTATCCGGCTTCTGCTCTCCCCCACAGGCTGCAGACTGCGCCAATAGGAGGGCAAGATAGCTAGAAGTTGCGCCTGCTGGTACTGTGGCAGGATGCAGGCCGCCGCCGATGCCACCCCAGAAGACAGCATTTCATGTCGCGTGTGCCATGAAAGCGATGGGCAGCTGCAAAGCCCTGGGTGCAGCTGCCACGGATCTGTGGGCTTTATCCACAAGCATTGCCTGATTGCTGAAGTCCAGCACAAAAGGGCCAGAGGAGGGCGTCTCTGCTGCACTTTATGCCGCACCAACTACCGGTGATTCAAGTGGAGCCCAAGAGCCAGCAGATGGTAGGAGCAAGTGTCCATCACCAGTGCTCATCACATGCCGTTTGCGTCCTGTCGTGTCATGCAGGGTAGATGCAGCCCTGCTGCCCCCGGTTCCCTTCTACACTCCTGTTGGCAGGGCGGCGTTGAGGGTCGGGCGGCAGGCCAGCATTTGCGCAGCAACCCCTTTTGCCATCATCAATGCAGTCAACAGGCAAGTGCAGCTGGTGGGAGACTGCTCTGCCGCACTTGATGCTGTGCAGCTGCATGCCGCTGCAGCCACACCAAACAGCGGGCAGGGTTGCTCTTTCGCCCCACGTTGGTGCAGAGCACGCCAGGTACCCAGCCTGCTCCGCACAGTTCAGCAGAATCCGCTGGTGGCGATGGGCCCGCTGGTGCAGGGCTGGCTGTCGGCAGAGATGACGTTATGGTACAGGCAAGGAACGCAGGACAGAACTGGTTTTGAGTTGCTTTAATATTTTGTAATTGGCATGACAGGCCGTCGATGCCCAAGTGTAATGCATCTGTGTTTGTGTTGCAGGGGCGATCGGCGTCTCCACCTGGACATGTTGCTGGGGAAGCCCAGCGCAGTCATAGCTGGGTCCTGGATGCTGGCGTTAATCGCGGGCTGGGCAGAGGCAAGAACATGTTACAGCCTCTGTGCCGCACCTGGAGGCATACAGTTTCATTCGCATGTGAAGATTTGCACCCATGATCTGCTGCCAGATCAATGCCTGCAAGTTTGTTTGCATGCAACATGCAGGCCAACATCGTGCCGTTTCTTCTGCCAGGGCTGGCTACAGCCTGCTGGACGGCCACCTGGACAGCCCGGCAGCTTGTTACGCTTCTCCAGGTAGCCTGCCCGCTGGACAGCTTCTCATCAGCATTAGGCAACTTGGCCCCTGCTTGCCACTGTGCAGCTGGGCATTCTGGGTTGGGCCTCCATCCACAGCGGTGCGCTGTTTGGCGGCATCGGGGGCGCCATGCGGTGAGAGGGGCGTGAGGGAAGGGTGAAGAGGAAGAACCAATGTCCGCAGCTCTGCAAATAAATGACCAGGGTGCAAACCAATCGCATCCACGATCTCACAGGGGTGTTGCATGCCATGCGCAGGTTTGTGGGCGCGCCTTTCAAGAGGGCGGCAGCTGTGCCCTGCACTGTCCTGCGGTCTGGCGCTGCTGCGGCGTGCATCACATGGCGATACGTTACAGCGCTCGTAAACAAGAGCTTGCTATGCCGACTGTGGGGGCAACACTGATGCAACCGTGATGCAAACAACTAGCACACACTGGCATTAGTGAGAGATTCTTCTGCTTCTGCTCTAAACTAAGTTGTCTAATGAAGGCTGACAGCAACACCCTGTGCAATCAGCAACTGCAGAGTGGGCAGCGGGACCCACACGCAGCGGATGTAGTCCTTGCTCAGCTGTGCAACAGCCAGCTCCTGCTGTTTGGCGCTCAGCATCATGCCCACCGCCTCAGCCTGGACCTGGGCTTCCAGCTGGGCCTGGCCTGGCAGCGCCAGGATGGCCACGGTGGAAGCAAACTCGCGCCCCGCAATGCTGCATGGGGAGGGAGAAGCAGGGTGGGGAAGCATGGGCACAGGAATAGAGGCCACCTTCGGGAATGTGCACAATCACACCTGTAACTGATGATGGCGCCCGCCGCCAGCCCCAGCTCCTGCGCCAGCTGGGCGGGCACGCCCAGGACATCTCCGTGTCGTGTGAAAGAAAGTCGGGCAGGCACCGAAACAAAATCAGGGCCGTCGGCCAGCTGGTGCTGGAGCCATGCCACCTCGTACTCGTGTACCGTGGGGCCTGCAGACGCAATGGGCGCAGCAATAGCACTATGGCCGGGCCCCCCCTGCTTTACCGTGCCTTGCCCTACCACCAACCATGTCACTCACCGGCTGGTGCGGCGGCTGCAATCTGCTGCTCGAGTTGAGCGCTATAGTACTCTGGGGCCAGCTGACGGAGAGAAGGGCCCAGCAGGCCAGTTGCGACCCACTCCCTGTGCTCCTCCTTATCCAGCTGGTGTCTCCATGCACGCACCGCATGCAGGCGCTGCAGTGACAGGAGTGTCGAAAGCAAGCATAGGCCAGCGGGTATAAACACCCACAAAACAGAGGCCTTGCTTGCGGCCAGCAGGCACATCACCTGCTGCTCTTCCTTGGGGCGTAGATGCAGTGTGGCATCCTCAATGCGGTCGGTCACCCAGCCTGCGGCACCCTCTGGGCATTGGGGAGGCAACTGAGCTCTCAGAACAAACGCAGCCAGCCCAACGCTGTGTTCTCGTGGCGGTCCGGCAACGCACCTTGGGCCGTGAAACACAGCAACCCAGCCAGCACAGGGCCGGCATATTGCGCATATTGCAGGCCGATCGCTTGCTCGATCTTCATGTTGGTGTCCAGAACACCTGCGGGCAGCAGCAGACGGCAGGCGGCGGCAGGTGGCGGTTGGGTCGCACGGGCGGCCGGGGGGTGTTCGAACAAAGGTGCGTGCTCTCGCTCACCCTTGTGCTCTTGCTTGTGTGCGACAGTCCAGTGTACACCGTATCGGCGGGAGGTAGGAAGTGAGCCATTCTGCTTCAGAAGCCCACAAACCTCGGCGACTTTCTTGGGTGGGTCCTTCGTGAAACGGCCTAGAAAGGAGGTCTCGGAACGGTGGGTGCTTTCCTCCCCGGCTGATGTGGCGGGCGCCGCCGCAACCTCCCCTTTTGAAACTCACGCCTTTAATAACGCATGTCTCATGCATCTGCCAAACTATATTGCATTTGAGTTGGTTGAAGGATCAGGTGGACTGTGCAAACCAGGCGACACCTCCCTGCCGTAACCGCGGCAAGCTCAATTCTGAGAAATTTTGAGAACGCTAGCCGCCAAGTGCCAAATTGGTGCGGTAGTGCTCGCGGTGCTCCTGCAGCGCAAAGGTGGGCCAGTCGGTTGGGCACTGGCAGCGGGCACAGCAGCGAGTCATAGCAAGCAGCTTGGTGACAGGTGTGATCTCCTTGACGGCGTGCACAAGCTTGGAGACCTTGGAGGACCTTGGAGGACCTTGGAGCTCCGGGACCGAGACCTGCCAGGGTCAAGTCAAGGGAAGTTAGGCTGTGCACAGCGCAGGTGTGCCTCAGGCTGCACAGCCGCCTGGCACTGGAGATGCGAGGCAGCTCGCAGCGTCCAGCGGAAGACATTGTGATGGTGGATGCCTTTGCCACCTCCTCAGCGCCAATCGCCTGCAAGGGGGCGGGAGCAGCGCTGGACCAGAGGAATAACACAGATTGAGGAGCATTGCCAGCAGCAGCTTTACTGACCTCTGCGAGGACAGAACTGGCGCCGGTACCCGGAGGGCGCCGGCTTGGTGGTGCTCCAAACCTGCGACTGCCGGCGCCCCGCTGGCGGGCACTGCAGTAGGGGGTAGCAGTGTCGGGTCACAAGTCCATGCTGACTAAGGGGAACATGGAACAACGATGGCAGCGCTGCTCTGCCACCCGCCTTAGACCTGCTCCCGCGCTGGTGCAGCTGCTGGCAGGCACCTGAGAAGAGCACCATTTTGGGTCTCGGCCACCATTCCACCCTCAAGTCTGCCGCCTTTCCTCCTGCTGTTTCTCAGAGCCATTCTGTCTCTTACAGAGATCTGAAGAGTCCAGCTCGTCCAGAGTGCAAAGGAGGAGTCAGAGCAGGCATTGTTCGTACAGTCTCAAAAGAAGAAGGCCCCCTGCGCTGCGGCAGGCGGCGGCGGTGCCAGCAGCTGCGCCGGGATGGAATCGTTAAAGTACAGCACGCCCAACGGGTTGCACTTGATGGCCACCTGCAGCAGCTGCCCCTGTTCGGGGGCGGCTAACGCTGGGTTGTGCACCATCGGCACGCGCGCGGTGGCGGTGGCGCCGGGTGGCACTGCGGCACAGAGGGCGTGGGAGGGAAGGAAGGCCACGTGATTAGTCTGGCAGGCATGCGATGCTGCTGGCCACAGCCAATGGTGACTGTTGTTGAGCGCTCATTTGCAGCAGCCTCGCGCGCTCCCCAACCACACCACCAACACCACGCACACACGCGCAACCAACCTGCATCCAGCGCTACATGCTGGGAGGCCGGCGCCAGCCCGAGCGCATTCTTGTTCAATTGGATCATGAAGCCGTTCAGCGGCGCCCCGACAGCCACGTTGGACACTGACAGCTGCAGGTAGGGCGGATTGGTACCGGGCGGGTGATGCTTCAGCTTTGGGAAACCCCTCCCCACCTTGCAGCGCCTGCCACCCGTTGTTCTGTGCCGCATCTGCACCTGCCGCACCTGGTACACGTATCCCTCGGCCTGCTGGCTGAGTGCCGCGCACAGCACCACCCCCTTGCCCTTGTCTTCCCCAAACACCATTGGCAGGTTGGGGGCATCTGCAGCAGCTGGGGAACAGAGGCAGAGCGGACCGCCCAAATCAGGTACCGGCAAGTGCGAGCGAGATGCGCAAAGCACAGTTGAGTGGCGCGCAGGGCAGCCGCGTCACCGCACCATCAAAGCACGCACCTGGCGGCGCTGCTGCTGCTGCTGCTGCTGGTGCAGGGGCGGGCACATCTAGGTCCAGCAGGTCGCCCAACAGGTCGGGCACAGGGGGCGTGGGCGTGAGGGCGGCAGAGGCCCCCAGCCCAGCCAGCGGCGACTCTGCCACAACTGCCGAGGTCAGCGTTTCTGTGTATGTGGGACCAAAGGAGTGCAGTGGATGATCACGTGCAAACACATGATCGGCACCAAACTAGCATAGCCAGTCAGTCAGCCTTTCCAACCAAGGCAGCAGAAAACTGGCGACATACCCGAATCTCCGCTGTGCGAGCCGCGTGCCGCTGCAGCTGCCAGATCGTCTGCTCGGTGCACTGCCAGGCGCATCTTGGACACAAAGGAGCTGGCGGGCTTGTGGTACACGCTGGCCAGGCTGCCCAGCTCTCCCAACAGCTCGTTCAGGAGGGCAGGCTCAGTGCCATCGTGCGCACCGCTGATGGTGGGCTTCTCGGCAAGTACCACGTCCTTCGCCGCCTCTGCCGGGAGCAAGTCGCAGGGCAGTTCTTAAAAAGTGTGCGGGTGAGAGACGGCGGCAGCAGCAGCGGAGCCAGGTTGCGAGCACATCACACCACCAGCGCTCGAGGGCAGTCGGAAGTCGATGACACAATTGATGAGCCCAGAGGATGCTACAAATACCTCGGTCCTCCTCACCCGGGTCAGTGGACAGAAGCCGCCAGTAGATGTACGCGCGATCACGAAGATCTGGGTTATCAGTCTGAATAGGCACAGCAAGATTTTACGTTGTGGAGCCGCTAAGAGCTGGACCAGCTCCACCCACAATTCCCTCCAACTCACCTCTTGGGTGGCATAGGTCAGCACCAGCTGAATCAGCTGCTGCGGCTTCTCCACCGGCTTTTTCAGGAACAGTTTGACAGTGGCAGTCATTAGTGCCAGCTGCACTGCCGCTGTCTCCTCGGGGAACGACTCCAGAAACTGTTCCAGCAGCTCATCTGCGGGCGCAGGGGTGGGGTTGAGTTTGGCCAGAGCCAACGGGCAGGGCAATGAAACAAGAGGAGTGCGTCGACCCGTTCATCGATGCAGCATTGACCCACGGCACCAATCTGTCACCCACTACTATAACACGTGTGTCCCCACCACAGTGCCCGTCGCCCCTGCCCTCAGCGCACCCGCGTTGTCGATGCGCTCTGCATACTCGCCAATGATCCACACCATGCTGGCCTTGGCCTCCGGCTCATCTAAGCTCTCCAAACTGTCACATAATGTCCCAATGATGCTCTCGTAACGGTTGGGGTAGCGCCTGCAGGCGGAACGGGGCGGCAAGTCTCTCATGGCATGGTCGCATGATGGGTGCTATGGGATGGACAGCACGCAGGGGAATTTCAGGCAGCCAGGTGCTCAAGAAAACCACCTTTATCACCTGAAGATGTCTTTAATGACGACAATCGACTCCTGCACTACGTAGTTGACCTTCGTGCCAATCAGCTCAAGCAGCACGTTGATGCACCGCTCCGCCGCCGACTGGATGGAGATGGCGCAGTAGCCAATTGCACGCACCGCCTTGCGCACAAAGTCCACGTCCACCTCAGTGGCATACTCCTTGAACTCAAGGAGGACCTGCACAGCGGTGGCCACAGGGGTGGGTGAAGGGGGGGCATGGGGTTGGTGGGGCAGGGTGCAACGGCAACTAAGAATGAACAGGACTGAATTGGTGCCAATCTGATAGGGACATGGCGCATGCTTGCCACCAGAGTGGCACGCTGCCCAGCAAGCGCGCCCAGATATTCCACTCTCTAACATGCCTGGCCGCCACCAATGGCGCCGCCTGCCCCACCCATCCCACAAAATGACACAAACCACACCAAAAGCAAATGCAAAACACAACCGCCTTCCAACCTGGTCAATGTTCTGCTCGTTGATCAGCTTCATCATGATGTCCAACTTCTCCATCTTGACATAGCTGGGATCGTTGTACTTGCAGAAGAAGACCTGCAAGCGTTGCAGCAGCACCAGCGTCAGACGCTGCATCGCTACGTCAAGCCCTTGGAGCGTTTGGCAGCATTTCAGGCACAGCGTCTTCCCCCGCACCCCGCCAGTCACACCTTGACATCGTTGGCCAGCACCGATGGCTGGCCCTGGATAATGAGGCCAATGTTGCGCAGCGCCACGTACTGCAGCTCCGGCTCCGCGCCCAGAAGCGTGACCAGCGGCGGCGCAAGCTTGCGTGATAGCGCGGCACGCACGGTCTCGTCATTGATGTACTGCAATTTTGGCAAGCGGAAGGTACAGTACATGAAACACAGCGGCGGCGGTAGACAGCACCAGCAACCCTGACTGTTGCTGTCACATGAATGCACGCTCCACCATCAAGTCCTCCCAGCTTGTGCACCCGCACACACCTGCAAGTTTTTTAGGATGACCTTGATGGCAGACAGCACAACAGCAGAGTTGGCATGCTGCAGACGCGGCAGCACACGCTCCACCACCGCCTCGGCATCCTTGCCATCGGCAGGCAGGTAGTTAACCACAGAGTCTAGGATGAACACCTGGAGGGGACCAGGCAAGTAGCGGGGGTGCGAGCGTGTGGCAGGCAGCTGACTGGAGGCTGGCAGCAAAACCCTTTGGCGGTGGCCAGGTAGCAAACCGTGTGCCAACCCACTCCATTACAGCACATCTCACCTGGCCCCACTCGGTGCACTCGTTGAGCGCCCGTAGCAGCTTGGATACGGTGCCAAGGGTGAGCTCCAGCACCGGCTTGCCACCCAGCTCCTGAATCTCGCTCAGGGCTGCCACCGCATTGGCCACCACCATGGGGTTGGCATCTCCAATCAGGTCCTGCAGACGCTGGCGGCAAGTGTGCTCAGAAGCACACAGACAAGCAGGCCGCACAGCCTTTTGAAGGCAAAGCAGATTGAGCAGCTGGGGTGCAGCCTGCGCAAGTGCTGAGGCGCCAACTCTCAAGCACATTTGTACACCCAAGAACCGCGTGTGCTGCACCAGCAGCAGTCCCCAACCAGCAGCAGTCCCCCATCCTGCCTTGAGCATGTCCAGGAAGCCGCGGTCCTCCACCAGTTCGGCATTGATGTCGTACAGCTTCGCCACGCACACCGCAGCCGTCTTGCGCACATATGGGTCCTCGTCCTGTGCGTCGGGTGAGGTGAGTGGACAAAGGTTGAAGTGCAAACATGGATGAGTGGAGACAGCAGCAGAAGGCCGGAGTCACTCAAACCATCCTCTCAACACTGCTCGCTCAGCACAACCACCTTCAGGCAGCGGTGCAGTGGGTCGCAGAGGTACTCGGTGATCTTGTCGACGCGGATACACCCCATGGTGCGCACAGCCAGAGCACGGATCAGGGGATTGGGGTCCTGGGAGTCCTGCAGGGCGGCCCAACGCGGATGGCAAGGCGAGGAGGGCCTGTTGGGCGTACACCACAGGTTAGCAGCCGCACCAGCCTGGGTGGGCTGGGTGGCTCCCGGGGTAGCCGCCTTGGGTGGGGTGGGCATGGCCGGTGCCTGGCTGGGTGGCTCTGCTGGGTGGCTGCCGCGTGCCCGCCCGCCCCTCGCCGCCGCCCCTAGGCCGCTCCAGGCCCCCTCCCGCCCCTCGCCGCTGCTCCGAGGCCGCTCCAGGCCCCCTCCCGCGTGTACTTCGACCTGCGGCCGCGCTCGACTGGACAACGCCCTTCCAACCCAGCTTCCCAGCCCGCCCACCTTCACAAAAGTGTTGACCGCCATGATGGCCAGGTCTGGCTGCGTCTTGGCATAGTTGATGAGGTACAGGTAGACCAGCTTCTTCAGCTCCATGTCATCAGTCTGCATCTGGTTGATCACGTCTGTAGGGGAAGGGGGGGGGGGGGGGGGGGGCACCTGGGGCAGTGGCGGCAGAGCTGCGCAGCTCCAACAACCAACCCGCTGCCGCTTCTCCTGCCTGCCCTACTACCAGCAAACATGTTCAGTGCTACACCACAGGGTCGCTGCTTGCTATAAAGCGGCAAAACATCCAGGCAGCAACCATGGGCAAAGCCAAGCGAATACGCGACAGGTCCTTGCACCGTACCTGGGAAGAGTGGCGAGACGTCTTTGCCGACTGTCATGGCTGCAATCACCTTCTTGACGGCATCCTTCTTCTTGCTCTTGTCTACCGCATTTAGCTCCGTCTTCAGCTCATGGATTTCACCTGACAGAGGTGGCAAGGGGTGGGGCGAGGGAGGAGAACCGTAAGGATGGCAGCATTACGCTGAACTTTGTTGGCCGGTGGCCGGCTGGCTACATGGGTGGGTGCGCATGTGTGCAGGCCCCGGGGCGTGCCACTCGTTGATCGGTGCTGCCGGAGGCGGCGGCGGTGGGCCCGCCCACAGTGCAGCACAGAAGCCCCTGCTGCCCAGATCCCCAACCGCTCACCTTTCTTGGTGGTGCTAAAGTATTTGCCGTCAGCCATGGCTGCCGATCGTAATGTCCGCCCGGGTTGCACAACTCGTTGGACCGATGCTGGGTGCAAGCGCGCCTACCCCACACCTGACGCTTACTTAGACTGCAGGCGCGAGCGACGAGGGGTCAAACTACGTCCGACCTTGAAAATCAAACGGCACAGAGCGCCGGCCAGGCCAGAAAAACAACAACAATAGTAGAATAAGTAGCAGTTTCCGGCAGAGGGCAGCTCGCAGAGGGTACAGCTCGCAGTACAGCCACTACTCCGAACAGCGCGCCGCCGCACTCCCCTTCCAAGGCCCCCATCGGGCTGGCCACACCGGCGCCGCCCCACTGGCCGCTTCCCAGAGAATCAGCTGTCTGTCGATATGAAACTATCTGTCGAGACAATCGACCTCGACGACACAACCGAGTTTGGGCACCTGCTGTCCGGTTCCTCCCCACTGTCGATGCTCAGCCCCGTTAACGGGGCAGGGCTCAAGTCCAGCCCCGGGCGCAAGCAGAATGGCACCGTCGCTGCTCCAGGGGGAGCGCCCGGCGGCCCGAGAGCAGCGGGAGAGGAGGAAGAGGAGAACGAGCCCTTGGGCGAGCTGCCGCAGCTTCGGGCGCTGGGCGGCGCCAGAGGCCGCCGGCCGGTTGGTGGTGCCCGCCCAGACGCGCGGCGGCAGAGCCTGGCAATCGGCGCCATGTTTGCGGGCCTGTCAGCAGGAGTGGGGCTGCTGGGTGAGACCGAGTTGGCTGTGGGCGACGAAGAGATCCAGGTGCCGCTGGCCAAGAGCGGCAAGTTGCTCGGTGGCACCGCCAACCACACCAGCCTGTGGATCGACCCAGACACCCGGGACCTGCTCGACGCGGAGCTGCCCTCGCCGCTGGTAGATGGAGCCAGCAGCAGGGATGGAGGCACCGCCGACAATGGCTTGCAGCCCAACCAGGGCGACAGCCCAGTGATGGCGGCGCCGCCGCCTTGTGCCGCCAGCTCCCGCAGGACTCCAGGTGCGAGGCTGATGGGCAGTTGACGCTTCTGAAGGGCATGAAATGTGTGATACACCATGAGCCAAGCATTGGTGGGCGAGATCGAGAGATGGTTGTTTCTGGTGCCGTCGCCTTGTTGCCAACCCCAGCATTGCGCCTTGCTGCAGCCATGCGGGCCAGCGCTGCCGTGTTCTGCGACCTCAGCCGGGCCTGTGAGGGGCTGGGCCTTGCTGATTTCAACAGCGACGATTTCCAGCTACAGGTATGCGTGGTGCACCAGCTTGAAGTGCATTTCAGCAAACCAACTTTGCAGGGTTGACGGGCGGGCCACATCTGCTGCGCAGCGAGAGCTGGCCAGGGCACTGGTTCACATTTCAAACCCTCCATCTGCCCTGCCCTGCAGGACTGCAACAAGGTCAAGGAACTGGCAATCCTTTTCAAGATGCAGGAGGGCGGCTCCGCTGCCTCTACGCCAAGCTCCTCCATTGCAACGCAGCGCTCCTTTGACACACAGCGTTCCCTGGATGCCAACTACGGCACGTCTGTGGTGGCAGCGGCGGCAGCTCAGCCAGTTGGAAGCAATGTTGCTGTTGACAGCGGGCTAGCTAGCATCCGGCAGCGGCTGCAGCAGTTCGAGGCAAGCGTCCCAGATGTGCAGCAAGCGAAGCGGCAGCCAGTGCAAGAGCAGGCACAGGAGTTGGATGGCTCGCTGCCGGCACATCGATGGCAGCAGGAGCAGCACGACCCTGCACCCACCTCTGCAGCAGCTCAGGCCCCTATGCTTGCAACAGCCCATGGCCCACCAGCTATCCGCACCGCCAGCTCAGCAACCCGCCCTGGCTCAGGCGGCGCGCACTCTACAACTCGGGCCGCATCTGGCATCGCTACCGTTGCTGCCACCAAGCCCGCTTCTGCAAGCAGGCTTCCAGCGGCATCAGCCCGTGCCTCTCGTCTGCGGCCGCCCACCACCTCCAGTGGCTTCTTCAGCAGCGCAACCACGGATGGCAGGTACATTGCAGCTGCCCCCGCCGCCGCCTCCCTTTGCTGCCTACCTAGCGGATCGGGGACCAATGCCCACTGCCACCCTTGCCGCAACTGCCTGCTTCCTGTACAGGCAGACAGCACGGGCGACAGCTGCAGCCTCACGGTCTGGTCCCAGTGGCAGCGGTGGCAGCAGTCGGCAGGGATCTGCTGGCACCAGCAGGACTGATGCACGTGCCAGCAGCATGCCGCGGACTGCACCTGCCAAATCTGCCATACAAGCAGCAGAGCGGCAGCTGCGCGTTGCTGCTGCTGCTACAGCACCGGGCGGTACTGCACCAGGCGGCGATGTTGCCACCGGCATCAAGCAGCCCGTGCTGTCGCGGCTGGCGCAGCAGTGCAGCTCCCGCATTCCCACCCCTTCCAAACCTGCTGGCAGTCGACTGCTCCCATCAGGCACCAACACTCCTGTGGCAGCAGCGCCCCGGCCGGAGGGAGCTGGTTCAAGCCTGGCAGCCAGCCGGGCCCCCCTCCTTGGCAGCCGCAGGGTGCCAGTGCATCACGAGAGCCCGTCCGGCAGTGTCGACAGTGCCAATGTTACACCCAACACTGCCCGCTTGCGTTTTCTGGAGCAGAACCCGCACCTGGCGTTTGGCTGCGGCACAAAGCTGGCGGACAGCCCAGACGCGCTGCAGGAGGCTGCCGCCAAAAAATTAACTGCCGAGGAGCGGCACCTCTTGGAGTGGCAAAAACACGGTCACCTGTGACTGCCATTCGATGGCGACTGACGTGGCTTGTGTACCGCACATAGTGGCTAAACTTCAGCTTCAACGATGTTACATGTGTTTTGACTACAATCACGCGTCTCGCGTTCTTTTGACTTTGAAAACAAGAAGGACATTACAATGGCATGCAACGGTATGGGAGCGTGCAGAGGCCGCTGGACGTGCTGAAGGCCCGCCCAGGAGCGGCGTGCTAGAATGGCCTGTAGCCAGGAAAGGCTGAGAGGCGAGGGGCAGCAGCAAGAGAAGGCGGTGCTTGCAAGACAGAGGGGGGCCAGCGCTGCATCGTCACGGGCGACAGCAACAGATCAAGGGCTCTCCTTGCTGCTGCAAACTACAGTACAACACACACAACAACTGTACATTGGATCCAATGCGGCACGATGGATCTCGCTATAATCTTGGCATTCAGGCCTGCCAGGCAGTGGCACCCGAGTCACCCAGAGGGAGTCAGCCATGAAGCGCGCTTGCCGGTGCCGCGGCAGTTGGGGCACTGGCATGCGCCCTGCAGGAGGGGGCGCAGCCAGCTGGTGCAGTGAGCCAGGGCATGGGTATGCCTTGCCTGCTCCCCCATGGGCGGCGGCAGCAAGCCGCAGGGTCCCTTCTCACCGTGCCGCGACACACAGGGCAGGGTGTGCAGCCGCCGTTGCTGCAGTAAAGCGTGTCGCCAATGGTCATGGCACCTGCAGCAGACGGACGGGAGAGGCAAACCAAAAGGTTGGTGTGCGCAACACAAGGGACACAGCGGTGGCTCGAGCAGGTTAGCTTGCCTGTGCCGTGACACCAGTTGCACTCCTGCTCTCCGCTCCCCCGGCAGCAGCTGCATGACTCCACATTGCCTCGCTGCACAGGCGGCAGCACGGGCAGGGGGGCAGGGCGGGTGCGGGAAGTGGCGACGGGGCCGACGCCGCAACTGACAGCGACCCTGGGCCGCTAGGCGGCTGGGACCTCTTGGATCAGGCAAAAGCGGGTTGGAGCTTAGAAGCAGCGCACCTCGCTGGCGTCATAAAGCAGCTGCAGTTTGGACGCGAGCTTTGTGTACTTGTCGTGCTGCGCTAGGCCCTCCAGCTCCCTCGCCAGGCCGTAGTCTAGCTCCTCGCTGTCGTAGCTGCCATCCAGACTGCCCTGGCCGCGTATGCTGGTTGGAGGCCTTCGGCTTCCCGGCAACCCGCGGCCAGCCCTCGCCCAGGGTGCTGCGGCTGGGGCTGCAGGCCCGCCCGGGCGAGGCGTGCGTGTCGAGAACGTCGAGCAGCGGCTGGTTACAACCTGAAGGTTCATGACTATCCCTGGAGGGATGTTTGTAGGGGCACTGTAATAAGTGTGGTGAAATCGGGGAGCTCGCGATCTTTGAGTATCGGTCCTTTGAACTGTCATGGCCACGTGGGCATTCCATGCGGCACGCCACGTGGCACTGATGGCGCATCTGTCATTTTGGCATCGGTGCTATTATTGTTACACTCGCGCCTGCAGATAGTATTGCACGCCATACCTGCAGGCGGCCCAGGAGGCGTTGGCCACGGTCCAGGTGGCGCTGGGCAAGGAGCTGAAGGCCACGCCGACGACGCCACGCCGCCGACGCCAGCTCAGCACGCCGTCGCGCCAACCAGTAGTTGAACGGTAGCTGTTAAAGCCTTGCAAGACATCGCATCCCCGCATGTGACGGCGGACTACGGCACGCGCCTGCGGCGGTGGCCAAGGCTCGCCACCATGCCGGCGCCTTTGCCGCCTGGCCCATGGAAGTCCGCCTCGTTGTCCAGCGTCACTGCAGGAAGCCACCAGCAATCAAACAACAGCCACCAGCAATCAAAAGAGTGTCGCCCAGGTGACAGATCAACAGCAAGGGAGCGCCACCTCAACAGATCAACGGCAGGCAGCCATCGCTCGCCTGCCGTGTCAGCCGCTGCTCGCTCGACCTCCAGCACGATCAGCTCGTTGTCCCCCTCGCGCAGCACAGGTCCTGGCACATACAGAGTCATCTGGGGTCCCCGTGAAGGCCAGAACCAGCCCAAGCAAAACGAGTTGATCCAGGCTATGCCCTTGCCCCAGCCATGCATCGCGAGGTAGGTGTCCGCCAGGTGGCCGTCGGCGCCGCGCAGGGCAGTGGTGCCATCGATGGAGAAGTTCCCCCTGCAACATGCGGCAGCAGGCGCGGCAGCGGCATGACGGCATGCCAGTCCCAGCCACACTGGGCGGCGGCCGACGCTTGGCGGCGGCGGCAAGCGGCGGCACCCGCTGCTCTCCCCCCCACACACCTGAAGAAGGTGGTCCCCGCCGCGGCGTTCCGGCGTGCCAGGTTGGGCGCTGCCAGCATGCGGCGGCGCGCGGCGGCTAGCAGGGTGGCACCAGCAGTGCCAGGGGCGTAGGAGAGGGTGGAGAGGTCGTCCAGCGAGAGGGCAAACACCTCCCAGCCGCGCAGCACCTTGCCTGTACACAGGCCAGGCGGTCCAGGGGAGGTCGGCAGTGCGTATGAGCGACCATCCCATCCCATCGGAGCAGCAGCAGGAGCAGGCCGCCGGGCAGGCACAGAGGCCGGCAGCCCACTCATCAGCCTGCCGCACCATTGAGGGTTACATTCTTAGATTGCAGGCCCTTGAAGTCCCAGCTTTCCACGTTGCATCCAAAGTTGTTCCTGCCCATGGCCTGCACAAAGCGCGCGGCGAGGGCAGGCAGCGCGTGAGCAAGGGCATGGCAGCCGTGCGAGACCGGAAAACCAACAGAAACAGGTGGCCGCAGCCGCAGGAGGTTGTGCAGCCTCCAATTGCCTCTACGACGATGTCCAGCTGCACCGTGCCACCATCGCTTCGGCCTGCAGACAAACAACGACGGCGATGAGTTGCCCACCACACGGAACCCTGTGACAACTGATGGTAGCGCCGGACAAGCACGTGAAACAAACGCCCAGCCTGGCCAAGCTCCAGCTCCCCTCGCCTGTCTGTGCTGGCAGCACGAGGCTGGTGTCGCCCTGGGACGAGCGTTCCATGCGCCCTGCCAACTGCCCATCCAGGAAGACAGAGGCAAAGTCGTGCACCGGGGTGCCCACATCCAAAGTGGCACCCTTGTCCAGAGCGCTGACGGGCACGTGGGTGCGGTACAGGATCAGGCCCCAGCTGCAGCAGCCAGTGCAGCGGTGGGAGGGGCGAGCAAACGAGCGTGGATGTTGGAGGCAGCACAGAGGCTGGCGGCATGCTCCAGTGCCTCCAGTGCAACCACGCCCAGACAATCAAGGCAGGTGGCAGCCCTGCGATGCACGTACCACTGACCGTACTCCTCCATGATGTCGGGCAGCTCGGTGCGCACGCCGCCATCCGTGCCATACAGCTGCTCCACGGCGTCCAACAGCGGCAGCGAGTCCCTGAGCTCCACGCGCCCGTACTTCTGTATCGCCGGGCGCGGGGGTACGGGCGGCAGCGTGCGCCCCGTGTGCTGCGCAATGAGGTCACGCAGCGCCTGCATGAGCATGGAGGTGACAGGTGCATGGTGAGCGGGGCGGAAGAGAGCCATGCATGGCCATGTGTGTCCACAGCTGGCAACGAGACGGAGGAGTGGGCAGCAGGGAGGCGTGGAGAAGCACCTAACCAGGCAGGCAGGCAGGCAGGCCCCGCTCCTCACGTGGTACTTGCAGGCGCCGCCGATGCCCGGCTGGCAGTAGTCGCCCGCCTCGCTGATTGGGGAGTCGTAGTCGTAGCTGCAAAGGGTGGGCGCGGTGGACAGGAGGCGCGGCAGAAGGTGACGAGACGGCAGTTGGTAGCCACCAGGTAACCCTGCAGGCGTGCACCTGCACGCGCCCGCCCTGCATCCACTGCCGCAACCGCCACCGCATCCACTGCTCTCGCACCTGGTTATGTGGGGCAGGTAGCGGGTGCCGTCCACGTTGGCGCCCGCCCAGAACCCGAAATTGGTGCCACCATGGACCATGTAGAAGCTCAGACTGGCGGTGGAATTGGCATACTCGAGCAGGACCTGTGAGGAGGGCGGGGAAGAAAGCACGCTGACAAAAATGATAGCTGCAACTGCTCAACGCAGCAGTTGCAACAGCGCTGCTCGCTGTTCACCGCCGCCCACCCACCCAGAACCCCTGCGACACCCCCCAAACCAGCAGGTGCGTATGCGCCCACTAGCCAACCCAGCACCGACCTGCGTGTCTTTCAGCAGCACCTCGGTTGAGGTGTTGGACATCTGCTCACCCCAGTGCGTCAGCCAACCCGTGCTGCAGCGGTTGGGCACGCGCGCAGGGTGAGTGGGAAGGCGGGACACAGCAGCAAAACACACAGCGTTGGGATGCATGGAGGGCCCGGCCCGGCAACACACCGGCTGACATTCGCCAGAAAATGACGGCAATCCATTGGCGCCTCGCTGTCCCCTGCCGTACTCACTAGAATTCGGAGCAGAAGGGCGGCGACTTGCCGGGTGCGTTGAGGCTCTTCTGTACGCCAAACGCATAGTTTGGGTCAAACCAGCCTGACAGGCAGCACAGGAGAGGAAAGTAACAGCAGGGGTGGGGGATGGAGCAGGGAGGAGGGCAGTCTTTGGGGCGGCAAACTTGGATGCTGGCATGCGTGCCACAGGCACGCTGAATGCTCAGGCCTTGTTCCCCGCCGCCCCAGCACAGCTCTCACCAGGCCCAAAGTCTACAACCGTGTAAACCTCGTCCCCTGGGATGGTGCCGCGCGGTGCCACCCCGGGCGGGTCGGTGGTGAAGAGAAGGATGTCAGAGGAGAGGTGGGTGCGCACCAAGCCCGCCAGGTGGCGCAGGTAACTCTTATCCTCCCCACAGAAGCCATACTCATTCTCAATCTGCTGGGCACATGGTTGACGAGGGCATGGCATGGAAGAAAGACCTGGTGGTGGCAGTGGGTGCAGAGACCTGCGTGGGCTGCTCACCCACCTGCACCATGAGTATGGTGTTGTGCAGGTAGCGGCGCAGCTTGGCAAAGAGCGTCGCCCACCAGCGCCCCACGTGGTCCAGGTAGGCTGGGTCAGCCGTACGCATGCGCATGGTGCGCCCGCCAGCCACCTGTGCATGGCAGCGGGGGAAGCATGGCAGCAGGGCGCAGGCGAGTGAGGTGTGCGACCGCGGGCGAATGCAGGGCCTGCGCTGCTGCCCCTGGCCTCGCCGGCACCCCGCCACTGCACCAGGTCGCTCACCTTGGAGGAGGCAAACCAGAAGGGGAAGCCGCCGTTGTCCCACTCTGCGCAGATGTCTGCAGCCAGCAACATGAGTTGGAGAGGGTCAAAAACATGCGGGCGCACCCACAAGACGGGCCCACGCACCCCCCGGGTGTTTGGCCAGACAGACACGCAACGGCACGGCAGAAAATGGCTCACAGGGTCCCGGCCTCAGCAGCACCTTCAGACCGGCCTCCTGCAGACCAAGCATGCTACAAGCTCCCTGACCTCAAGAGGAGACCCGGGCTGGGCACAATTGCCACTGCGCCACACCCCCCCACCACCCACATGCCCCATGCCAGCAGCCTCGCCTGGATCAGAGCCATCCAGCGCTCGATGTCTGCAAACCCGGTCCACACATACTCTCCTGGGTAAGGCTCGTGGAGGTTCCACGGGGAATACACCTGCAGGGGGGAGGGCAAACAGGTAGGCACAGCGCAAGCTGCAGCTGAAGGCCCGAATGCGACATTGCCGGAGGGAAGTTGCCCCATGACGCTTCCAGCCAGGAGCAGCCATTGGCTCGGAAGCAGGCTTTGCGGGTCCTGTTGAGACACAAGATTGCGTTGGTGCATCTGGCAGCGCTGGCCGAAGGCTTCCCCGACGCATGCGATGCATGGCGGAGGACAGCCACGCGCCATGCCCCCTGGAGCGGGCTACCAACCTCGACTGTGTTGATGCCCATAGCGGCAGCGCGCTGGAGGCGGTCACGCCAATGGCTTGGATGGATGCGAAAATAATGCATGCTGCGAATAGCAGAGGGTGTCAGGGCTGGGGCGACATGGTTTGCCGTGGTGGGAGGAACAGGGTTGCAACTCCAAAGGACAAGCCATAAAACGACAGGAGCCGCCCAAGTCACGGGGCGCCCAAGTCACGGGGCGGGCCGTCTGAAAGAAGTCGTCGTCGCTGCACCCCTCCTCGCTGACAGTCACCCCCACCTGCCACTGATGATTTGCAGGGGCTTGCCGTCCAGGAAGAAGCGGTCGGAACGAATCTGCAGGCCCGCATCCTTCTGCCGGCATGCGGGGTGATCTCCCACTCCGTGGCAGGCCTGACAGGCCAGCAGCAGGGCCGCCAGCAGCAGGGGCACCCCCCTCATCGGAAGCCACTCCCGAGCCTGGCTGATCACTTTGGCTGGGCTCTGTGACAAACACACCGCAACCACAGCCGCCGTAGATGTATACTTCTGAATACGACTGACCAGCGCGAGACACTCGACATCCGATGGCCAGGTCACTGCAGAGCCGCTGGACAGAAGAGAGGCGGGTGGTCTAGCATGCGACCCTTGCAGCGCTCACAGCCCCGTGGACACACTCGCATCCTAAAGTCAGACACAAAGCGCCCAGCCAAGGCAGGGTTGAGCCCGCAGGCCTAGCGGGGGGTGCCCCTGCTGTTCGGCACCAGCCTTGCAGCAGCGTGAGCAGCGCTTCCAGCCGGCATGGGCGCCTACCTGAGCAGCCCGGTCCGAGACAAGGCGAGCAGGAGGGGCGACCAGGGCGCCCGGCCGGGCTGTGGGCGCGCCTGCCGTGTGCCTGCGGGCAGGGCGCAAAGGGCGATCGCTGCCCACCGGACGGCGTGGGTGGCCTGGCAAGGCGCAAACCCACCGCCACCGTCTGCCGCTCTGTCCCACCCCGCCGCCTGCTGTGCCGACCCGCAGGAGACGGAGGAGGGGGAGAACGACTCCTTCAAGTATGGCATCGCGGCCATGCAGGGGTGGCGCACAGACATGGTGGGTGCAGGAGCCAAGTGCGGCCACGGGGGCGTGGCGGTTGCGGAGCGCTGCTCCGCCCGCTAGCAGAGCGCTGCTGCGCTCGGTGCACTCGCGAATTGCTGCGCGTACTGTTCCACAAGTTGCCTCAATCACGTACGGCCGGGGCTGTTTGTCACACCATGGTACAGGAGGATGCGCATATAGCCGAGCTAGACCTCGACCCAGCCACCAAAACCTCGCTCTTTGCAGGTGCACATGCATGTTGCTATGTCAATGTGACCCTGTGCACCATTACTGATTTGATCCAAGGTTGAACCACGCCCCGCAGTTTTAGATGGACATGGCGGAGCCGAAGTAGCTCGCTTCGTTGCAAATCACTTGGTGAGTGGACTCCTCGCTGGGTGCCACACCCTGCCGTGCCTCTGTTGGAGGAACCCTGGGCGGCAACACGAGCCTCCCATCCTTGTCCCACCTCCATCCTCCTGTACTGTTGCAGTCCCAGGAGGTCATCTCCAGCGAGGCATTCCAGGCCAACGACACGGAGCGTGCGCTGATACAGGCGTACCTGCGCATGGACGAGCTGCTGGTCAAGGTGGGCAGTGGTGGGGAGGTGGGCGTTGGCTGCACCACCTGTTGCACGGGCGGGATGGGAGTGTGTCACGGCTATTGGGTGCCCTCCCGAGATGTGAGTAAGTCATGGGGTGTGCCTGCGTGGGCAGGAGGAGCATCGTGAGGAGCTCAAGTCGCTGCGGACCAAGGAGAGCGAGGAGGAAGGGGACAGGTGAGGCGGCGAGGCTTCGTCGACGCGCATGTGACCTTTGCCGGTTGAGCTTGCCATTCCTGGTGATGCCCATGTCTCGATCTTGACTGCAAGCGGTCTTTATCTCATCTGGCACGGCTCTGCCGTCTCTGCCGTGCCCTGGTGCAGCGGACCCATGGTCATCAACGGCGCCTCGCTTCCCGAGTCCCTGCTGGAGGCGTTGGGCATGCCCTCCGGCGCCGGCTTTCAGATCAAGCTCGTGCGCTCAGGTGGTTGCTTGCAGTGGAATGATGGGCACGCGGGGATAATACTTGAGGGGCAAGTGGGCATGCAGACGGAGGTCCTGGTGGGGGATGGCAGTAACCAGTGACCGAATGGGTGCGGCAGGCATCGCCATCCCAGCCAACAGGTTTGGCCATGCAACCCCCAACCTGCTGTGTGACATAGCACGGCATTCATGCGGCTGTGTGCAGGCCCAGGCGCACGGGGCATCGCGATTGACGATATTGAGGAAGCGGAGGAGGGGGAGGAGGGGTCCAACCGCAGCGGCACAACCATTGTGAGTTGCAGCCGCTGCTGACTTGTCCTGGTTATGAATTCTCCCATAAACACGCTGTGTGTGTTGCCAGCTCAACCGCTCTTGCATTCGCTGGTAGTGGGCAGAGTTACAGCGTTCTGTTGTGGTGCGTAAGCTCAAGCCCGCACATTGTGCATCATTGCAGGTCCAGCTGGTTGAGGGAGATGTGGAGGAAGAGGTGGGGGAGCAGGGAGTAGCACCAAAGGTAGCAGGTGAGGGAGGTGAGCCGCTGGGCGGGGGGTGTCAGGCACCCATTATTGATAGCTGCGTTGACTGTTCTCCCAGCAAGTTGGCTCATGTGTTGCCGACAACCTTGATATTGTGCAGACGAGGAGGATGTTGGGGCTGCTGTCGCGTCCACTGATGCCACGGAGCGGAACAGCAAGCGCAAGCGCGAGGATAAGGCAACTGGCATGGCAGTAGATGGCGCAGCAGTGGCAGCAGGTGCGGCAACGCCCAAGGGGTGGGGCCCACATGCATGTTATTGCGAGATCCTGGCGCAGAGCACATCCATTGCCATGAATGAAAGCGGTCTCATCTTCCTGGTTGTGGCTGCTGCAGCAGCAGAGTCACCAGGCAGCAGCGACGAGGAGGCGGCGACGGCGCGGCAACAGGCAGGCGAAGTTGTTGTGGAAACAGGGGATGAGAAGGAGGGGGAAGCAACGCCTCAGAAGGTGCACTGCAATTTAGCTGCGCTGCTTTCGCATTAGTATTGACCATGTTGTTATGCTGCTGCGACTGCTACATCAGCCTCGCCGGCACAAGGTGCCCATTTGCCGGCTTACCTCATTCCTGCGTTTTTGATTGCCCGCCCTCTTGAATTGTACTGTACTGCACTGCTCGTGCCGTCTATGTTGCTTTGCCATATTTCCTGCAGGACGATTATCTGGGCCCCTCGGCGGGCTGCACTGCCGTCTGTGCCGTTGTGCGCAACGGCGAGCTGTACGTGGCCAATGCTGGCGACTCCCGCTGCGTGCTGTGCCGCGGCGGCACCGCCGTGGAGATGACCCAGGACCACAAGCCCATGGACGAGGAGGAGTATGCACGCATCATGAAGGTACACGGGAGGGCGGGGCTGAGCTATTGCATGGGAGGCACGGCAGCTTGCTGCAAGCGCAGGCTTGACGCACCCTTTGCTGACTTTGTGACATGTCCCCCCTGCAGGCGGGAGGGTTCGTGGCTGACGGCCGTGTCAACGGCAGCCTGAACTTGTCCCGTGCACTGGGGGATCTGGAGTACAAGCAGACGAAGGAGCTGGGGCCGGAGGAGCAGGTGGGCTTTCTGTTTTTAGCAGGCAGTTGTCGAGCAGCACGCATTAGGTCAGCTCAGTTTCATGGTCCAGACGGCACTCACGCCAGAGTTGTGCGCACTGCCGCCCCAGCCTGCCTGACCCCCCTGAATTGCTGGGTGCAGATGGTGACCGCGATGCCCGAGATCCGGCGCCAGACGCTGCAGCCCGGCGACGAGTTCCTCATCCTGGCTTGCGACGGCATTTGGGACGTGCTGACCAACCAGGAGGTCAGGGGGGGCTGGTCTGCTGCTTGGGCTGGTCAAGCAAACACTAGCCCAGCGGGGCTATAGTGCAGATGCTTGAAAACATGTTGCTTGCGCGTTTTCCCCATCCTGTGCAGGCAGTGGACTTTGTACGGGAGCGGCTGGCTGCTGGCAAGGCACCGCGCGAGGTTTGCGAGGAGATGTGCGACCGCTGCTTGGCTCCGGACACCGGCGGGTGTGGCAAGGGGTGCGACAACATGAGTGCCATCGTGGTGCTACTCAAGGACTTCCAGGCCAAGTAGGAAGTGCAGCCACCAAACCTGCCTTGCAAAGCGGGTGGAAGCCTGGAAGGCAGTGGCACTGACGGCGGCAGGCAGCAGCCTATACACAAGCCAGGCTTGGTTTGCAGGCCCTGGGCAGCGGCTGCGGCTGCCTGATCAGTTTTGTTTTTGCAAGCTGTACTTTGTTCCTGTGGTACCGCACGGTGTGCGACAAACCAACTTTATTCATTTCACGCTTCCTGTGTAATCGGCATTCGGACCTAAATTGCTGGCCTGGCCTTTTCACCACGCTTGATAGCACTCACAGGGCCACAGGGTGGCAAGCTTCTATAACATTCTTCCCTGCTGCCCGTGCGGACGGGATACCATGTGGCACCAAGGTGCTTCATCATGCCGCAGCCGTGATCTTGGCTGTCCGTCCTGCCAAAGACTCGACCACGCAGGTTAGGTTGTCAAACGTTTCCAGGGTGCCGGGGTAGATGGGGTCGGGTGCCGCCTCCTCAAACACCTCCAGCGTGCCCACGCCCTGGTCCAGCGTGCCTGCAGCAAGCACGGGCACAGGTGCAGAAACACGTCAGAAACAGCAATGGTCTGGATCACTGGGTTTGCTGCCAACCGGAAAAAGCGCGTGCTTGGGCCTGCCCTCAATGCTGTACGCATGCCCTCTGCACCCAAACACGCGCTCCACCAACGTCCCGCCAAAGCTTGTACACACCTGCGAACTTCTTGTCCAGGATCATCTGCGACAGCTTGCCCTCTACCGTGGCCACCGGTAGCTTGATAAGGCTGGCGATGTGCGCAATCTCAACGCGCGAGAAGGGCTCAATCAGCCTGCAGCCATGGCGGAGCAGTCCTCAAGTTTGCTGTTTGCTGTTGAAAGCCACTCTGACCCTCAACAGGTGCATTCGCAATTGGGCTCATAGCTGGCGGTTCTTGACCCAGTCCCGCACCTGATCAGGTTCTGCTCCAGCAGCGTGTCGTACAGCGCACTGAGGTGAGTGTGCACAATCGGGTCGTCGCTCAGCTGGCCGCTGTAGGACTGCGACACGGTGGCAACGAGAAACACTCACACACTCAGGGTCAAGGGATGAGCGGCCAAGCCCAAGACCACTGCTCTGTTGGTATGCCCCCACCAGGAGGGTTAACGAACAGCCTCAGCAAGAACCAGGCAAGCCGGGCAGGCAGTACTGATGTCAGCGCTTGACAGCCACCTGTAACGTGGCCTGGAATTCCTGCAGGGAGCGGTCCTGGTAGGCCTTGGCCACGGCCCGCATCGCATCAACGTCTGCCCCAGCATATTTGAGCCCACCCTTGCTACTGATGATGGCGGGGACGTCAGACACATCGCCCGTCATGATCTATGGGGGGCCAGGGTCCTTTGCGAGGGCAAATCAGCGCCAAGGAGATGAGCACAGCACAGCATGAATAAAAAAACAGCATGCTGCCCCCGCCCACAGGTGTGCAGCAGGTGCTCACCTTGCACAGCAGCATGTACTTGAGGACTGCCACAGCCCGTGAGTCATCCAGAGCACTCAGTTGCTCAAAGGCCTCGAAGAAGTAGCTGTAGGCAGTTTTGTAGTCTTTCTCCTCTGCAGGCAGCCGCACATTGGAAGGAGGCAGTGAGGCAGGCCAGGCAGCACAACGGCAGGCTCTGGCGCGCACAGTAAAGACAGGCGGATCCCAATCCTGCTGAGCTGGCCCCCTGGAAGCTGCAAGTGCCAAGGCAGGCGCCACATCACGCCACGTCCCCAGTGGCACAGGAGCTGCAGCTACGCGCCTGCGTGCAGTGTGCCACTCTGGGTGTCAATGTCTGCCTGCAGCGAGGGCGGGATGTAGATGGCATTGGCCGCCGTGCGTGCCGCCGTCAGCGCTGCACGGCTCTTGGGCAGGTTCTTCAACGCATGATGCACCTGCGGGTTACAGGAGGCATGGAGCAAGCAGGCAAGGGGGTAGGTGCATGAGCTAGCATTAGGCTTAGCATTTGGGCGAGTAGCCACACATCTACAGTTCCTCAGCAAAATTCAAGACGCAATGAAGACCGGCAACTGCCTGCAGGTCCGAGGCTGCCATTACACCTTGGACTCCAGCAGATGTATGTCCACAAGCAGCAGCTTGTCGTCCAGCCGCTTCACCTCCGTCAGCAACTTGCCTGCAGGTGGAAGCAGGCCAGCAGCAGCGGCTTGGTTGAAACAATCGTGCTGGGTAGGATGGGTGACAGGCTGCCGCAGCTGAGCAGCCAGCACCTTATGCCCATGCCCCAACCCCAATGTTGCTACCCACACCCTGATCATACGCACCGATGAGGTGCAGAGCGGCGGGGTAGTCCTTGGCCTCCATCTGAAGCATGGCAAGGCGGATCTCAATGCGCTGCCGCAGAAAGGTGCGCTTCTCCGAGCTGGCCCATTCCACCTGCTCCTTGCACACCTCCAGCTGCGGGGGACAGGGAAGAAAGAGTGCACGGCCCAATCAGGGCGCCTGATGGAGGGACGCTTTCCCAGCAACATGATGCAACATCATGGAACAGAGAGTCCATATGCAACTGTCGGGCAGAAGCGGCAGACAAGGTAGCTGGTTGGCGGCTGACTTCCCGCTTCTTGGCCTCCCTGCCCAGCATGCCCATGCCGCTCACCAGCAACTCGTTGCTGTTTGGCACTTTGGCAATGCTGTCGACGATGGTGCGCACAATCTTTGCAGTCTTGGCTTTGGGGATGGCCGCAAAGAGCGGGCGCAGCTGGGTCAGGAGGTTGCGCAGCGCAGGTGCGGACCCCTGCTTGACCAGCAGGTCGGTCAGCTTCTGCAACGCCGCCTCCTTGACCTTCAGGCACTCGGCATCGTTGGGATGCGGGCCCACTACCACCTCACGCAGCGACTCCACGGCTGCCCCCGAGCTGGTTGCGGCGGCCTCCTCGGCTGCCTGCACCTTGGCCGCCAGCGCCTCCGCCATGGCTGCTGGCCTAGCTTGATCAGGCGTCGTGCTGCAGGGCGGCTGCAGGTGCGAAAAACAAGCGGTGGCGCCACAGTGAGAAACCGGAACGCTTCTGGGTGGGCGCTAAACCCAGTGGCAGCGGCGGCGGCGGGGGGTCAGCGCAGCGTTCCCTACGCCCGGGCCTCCCTTGAGAGGCTGCAAGACTGCCTCACTAACAACATAACACAGCCACAGCACCCAATCAGGGCCACCACGTTCAAGCGAGTCACAGGCGAGCCGCAAAGAAGCACAGGTGCATGCAGCCACCGAGCACCTGGATGCTGAGGTCAAGCGGGGAGTGCAAGAGAGATGAGGGGAAGAGCGAAGGGCGATCAGCGATCAGCGACACGCCTGCTGCACAGGGTAGCTGCCGGGCGTTGGTTTTTGCCAACAAAGCGACTGCCGTGCGATGCGATCGAAGCCTCGCACGAAAAATTCGCCTCTGTAGTGCTGTATTGTTAGCTGAGCGCAAGCAGGCCGGAGCGCAAGCAGCAGAGCGCATTCATAATGAATGAACCTGCCGAGGAAGGACGAAAGCGCACACGCCGACGCCTAGCTCCAGCCTTTGTGCCTCTACACCTCCTGTGTGTTTCGTTATTAGCTTTAGCTTACCTGGCACCCGCCAGGTAGGCCCATACCGCTGCTCCAGCGCGGCAGGCACATCTCTTGGAACGTGCAGTGTATGCCCACGCCACTCCAGCACCCCGGTGGGGAGGACCGCTGCCCGCCCAATCTCCGTGCAGCTGCCGTGCCCGCTGCGGGCAGCGAGGAGTAGGCCAGGCATGCATGATCACATGGGTCACTGGGCCGCTCAACCACAGGCACACCCTGCCAACCACGGCCCAGCAGCTTCCACCCACCAATCGACGAGGAGGCGGTCGTCGCCGCACGGCGTAGCACCAAAAATGTCGGCCATGCCCAGGTGACAGTATGCGCGAATAAACCGGGCATTGGGGTCATCGCTGGGGATCACCACCCGCATGCTGTACTGGGAGAGGCGCCTCTGCCAATCAGCAACTTGTGCCAATCCGCCACTTCCAGCACACTCACGTCAATGTCTGAATCGTGCTCAATGAGCTGCATGGGGGGCAGGAGGAGGCAGAACAGGATGGGTATAGCAGGAGGGAGATGGGCATGGATCCAGCAGGCAGCACCCACATCGCCGTCACGATAAATCCCAAGTAGAGCACCAAAGTCGAGCCAGTGCTGCTGTACAGCTCCTTCAGCGGCCAGCTCATTCAGAGCCCAGCACAGGTCGAGTAGCAGTTTTCGGAGGAACTTGCGCCGCACGTGATGAAACAGGCGAATCGTTAACTGGATGCTCGCATACACAGCTACAGTGCCTGCATACGCAAGTTGTTGGCGGTCTTGGGCTGCAAGCAGTGAGGAAGGCACTGCAGCGGCCGCGCACCCGCGGCGACGGCGGGGGCGGATCGACGCGTCGGCTCCCGCTGGTCCTTCCTCTTCCCTACTCCCTCCTGCTGCTTCTTTCGCTGCTCCTTGTTGCACAACCTGGCCGGAAGGGGTTGAGGAGCATCTTTACCAGTGGTCCAGCGCTGCTCCCGCCACCTCGCAGGCGGTTGGCGCTGAGAGGGTGGTACAGGCATCCAGCTGGACGCTGCTAGCCGCCTCGCATCTCCATGACAGGCAAGGCTGTGTAGCCTAAGGCACACCCGTGCTCTGCACAGCCCGACTTTTCCTGACTTGTCCATTGGCAGGTGTCGGTCCCGAAGCCAGCAAGGATTTCCTCCAAGGTCTCCAAGCTTGTGCACGCCGTCGAGGAGATCACGCCTGGCACCAAGGTGCTTGCTGCGAGTCGCAGCTGTGCCCTCTGCCAGCGCCCTACCGACTGGCCCACCTTTGCGCTGCAGGAGCACCGCGAGCACTACGGCACCAATGTGGCACTTGGCGGCTATCGTTCTCAGAATCTCTCAGAATTGAGCCTGCCGCCGGCACGCAGGGAGGTGTCGCCTGGGTTGCACAGTCCACCTGATCCTTCAACCAACTCAAATGCAATATAGTTTGGCAGATGCATGAGACATGCGTTATTAAAGGCGTGAGTTTCAAAAGGGGAGGTTGCGGCGGCGCCCGCCACATCAGCCGGGGAGGAAAGCACCCACCGTTCCGAGACCTCCTTTCTAGGCCGTTTCACGAGGGACCCACCCAAGAAAGTCGCCGAGGTTTGTGGGCTTCTACTACTTCTGAAGCAGAATGGCTCACTTCCTACCTCCCGCCGATACGGTGTACACTGGACTGTCGCACACAAGCAAGAGCACAAGGGTGAGCGAGAGCACGCACCTTTGTTCGAACACCCCCCGGCCGCCCGTGCGACCCAACCGCCACCTGCCGCCGCCTGCCGTCTGCTGCTGCCCGCAGGTGTTCTGGACACCAACATGAAGATCGAGCAAGCGATCGGCCTGCAATATGCGCAATATGCCGGCCCTGTGCTGGCTGGGTTGCTGTGTTTCACGGCCCAAGGTGCGTTGCCGGACCGCCACGAGAACACAGCGTTGGGCTGGCTGCGTTTGTTCTGAGAGCTCAGTTGCCTCCCCAATGCCCAGAGGGTGCCGCAGGCTGGGTGACCGACCGCATTGAGGATGCCACACTGCATCTACGCCCCAAGGAAGAGCAGCAGGTGATGTGCCTGCTGGCCGCAAGCAAGGCCTCTGTTTTGTGGGTGTTTATACCCGCTGGCCTATGCTTGCTTTCGACACTCCTGTCACTGCAGCGCCTGCATGCGGTGCGTGCATGGAGACACCAGCTGGATAAGGAGGAGCACAGGGAGTGGGTCGCAACTGGCCTGCTGGGCCCTTCTCTCCGTCAGCTGGCCCCAGAGTACTATAGCGCTCAACTCGAGCAGCAGATTGCAGCCGCCGCACCAGCCGGTGAGTGACATGGTTGGTGGTAGGGCAAGGCACGGTAAAGCAGGGGGGGCCCGGCCATAGTGCTATTGCTGCGCCCATTGCGTCTGCAGGCCCCACGGTACACAAGTACGAGGTGGCATGGCTCCTGCACCAGCTGGCCGACGGCCCTGATTTTGTTTCGGTGCCTGCCCGACTTTCTTTCACACGACACGGAGATGTCCTGGGCGTGCCCGCCCAGCTGGCGCAGGAGCTGGGGCTGGCGGCGGGCGCCATCATCAGTTACAGGTGTGATTGTGCACATTCCCGAAGGTGGCCTCTATTCCTGTGCCCATGCTTCCCCACCCTGCTTCTCCCTCCCCATGCAGCATTGCGGGGCGCGAGTTTGCTTCCACCGTGGCCATCCTGGCGCTGCCAGGCCAGGCCCAGCTGGAAGCCCAGGTCCAGGCTGAGGCGGTGGGCATGATGCTGAGCGCCAAACAGCAGGAGCTGGCTGTGGCACAGCTGAGCAAGGACTACATCCGCTGCGTGTGGGTCCCGCTGCCCACTCTGCAGTTGCTGATTGCACAGGGTGTTGCTGTCAGCCTTCATTAGACAACTTAGTTTAGAGCAGAAGCAGAAGAATCTCTCACTAACGCCAGTGTGTGCTAGTTGTTTGCATCACGGTTGCATCAGTGTTGCCCCCACAGTCGGCATAGCAAGCTCTTGTTTACGAGCGCTGTAACGTATCGCCATGTGATGCACGCCGCAGCAGCGCCAGACCGCAGGACAGTGCAGGGCACAGCTGCCGCCCTCTTGAGAGGCGCGCCCACAAACCTGCGCATGGCATGCAACACCCCTGTGAGATCGTGGATGCGACTGGTCTGCACCCTTCTCAAAAGCCAAAAGCTCTCGACGTCTGGGAGTCGTATTTGCAAAGCTGCTGACATTGGTTCTCCTCTTCACCCCTCCCTCACGCCCCTCTCACCGCATGGCGCCCCCGATGCCGCCAAACAGCGCACCGCTGTGGATGGAGGCCCAACCCAGAATGCCCAGCTGCACAGTGGCAAGCAGGGGCCAAGTTGCCTAATGCTGATGAGAAGCTGTCCAGCGGGCAGGCTACCTGGAGAAGCGTAACAAGCTGCCGGGCTGTCCAGGTGGCCGTCCAGCAGGCTGTAGCCAGCCCTGGCAGAAGAAACGGCACGATGTTGGCCTGCATGTTGCATGCAAACAAACTTGCAGGCATTGATCTGGCAGCAGATCATGGGTGCAAATCTTCACATGCGAATGAAGCTGTATGCCTCCAGGTGCGGCACAGAGGCTGTAACATGTTCTTGCCTCTGCCCAGCCCGCGATTAACGCCAGCATCCAGGACCCAGCTATGACTGCGCTGGGCTTCCCCAGCAACATGTCCAGGTGGAGACGCCGATCGCCCCTGCAACACAAACACAGATGCATTACACTTGGGCATCGACGGCCTGTCATGCCAATTACAAAATATTAAAGCAACTCAAAACCAGTTCTGTCCTGCGTTCCTTGCCTGTACCATAACGTCATCTCTGCCGACAGCCAGCCCTGCACCAGCGGGCCCATCGCCACCAGCGGATTCTGCTGAACTGTGCGGAGCAGGCTGGGTACCTGGCGTGCTCTGCACCAACGTGGGGCGAAAGAGCAACCCTGCCCGCTGTTGGTGTGGCTGCAGCGGCATGCAGCTGCACAGCATCAAGTGCGGCAGAGCAGTCTCCCACCGGCTGCACTTGCCTGTTGACTGCATTGATGATGGCAAAAGGGGTTGCTGCGCAAATGCTGGCCTGCCGCCCGACCCTCAACGCCGCCCTGCCAACAGGAGTGTAGAAGGGAACCGGGGGCAGCAGGGCTGCATCTACCCTGCATGACACGACAGGACGCAAACGGCATGTGATGAGCACTGGTGATGGACACTTGCTCCTACCATCTGCTGGCTCTTGGGCTCCACTTGAATCACCGGTAGTTGGTGCGGCATAAAGTGCAGCAGAGACGCCCTCCTCTGGCCCTTTTGTGCTGGACTTCAGCAGTCAGGCAATGCTTGTGGATAAAGCCCACAGATCCGTGGCAGCTGCACCCAGGGCTTTGCAGCTGCCCATCGCTTTCGTGGCACACGCGACATGAAATGCTGTCTTCTGGGGTGGCATCGGCGGCGGCCTGCATCCTGCCACAGTACCAGCAGGCGCAACTTCCAGCTATCTTGCCCTCCTGTTGGCGCAGTCTGCAGCCTGTGGGGAGAACGTGGGGGAGAGCAGAAGACGGATAGCCAATCTGCCTCGCAAGTGTCTAATCGTCTGCTTTGGATAGCGCGACCAAAGGTGGGAGATTTGAAGGGCTCAGATGGGCTCGAGTGATTCTAAGGAGCACCCTTTGTCGAAAAGAACGCAAATGCAACAGGCATGCCATGCGAAGCAGGGGCAGCGGCCGTTTCGCCACGGAGGCAGGGTGTAACGATGTACTCAAGGCGCATTTTCACCACCATTTATTGTCCCTCTGAATATAAATGGTGAGGGCACCATTGTGTGCAATCCCTTGTGGCGCTTCCAGATGCCACCGCCTGCTTGCAGGTGTTCTCGACGCCAAGCGTGAAGATCAGGCAAGTTTGGCCTGCAGCATGCCCGCCCTTTGCTTGCCGGGTGCTGTGTGCCAAGGCGTGCCAAGGTGCGTCGCAGGAGTCACACATACACGGCACTGGCTGCGCTTTTCAGCTGAGAGCTCAATTCGCCACCCTAGCCTTGAGCTTGCTCTCGCTTCTGCTGCCGCAAGCTGGGTGACTGGCGCATTGAGGACGCCACATTACGCACCAAGGAAGAGCAGAAGGTGTGCGGACTTTTCATGGTGATTAGGATGCGAGAATGTTACGGCGGTCCCCACGGAGGGGCAGCTCCATTGGTGGCAGCACCTCCTGTCAATGTCTGTGGACGACGGCCGCTTATGCGTTGCATGCGTTCCAACCCCACACGGCCCCTTTAATGAACTTCAACCCCACGCGCAAACACCTCTATCACTCCGCGATGCACCTCCGCTGCAAGAACAAGAAAAAAGAGCGAGCTGATCAGCCAGCACACCCAATGATTGGACATGTGAAAGCCAGACCGCCTACAGCAAAATGAGGACATGACAGCGAGGCCTGTGCCTGCATCCCACCCCACCTGTGATGTGGTTGTTGGGCAGCAGCTCGCCATCGGCATTCCAGTGGCTCTCCCGCAATCCCACAGGCTCCACATGCACCGCCACTGCCGGCACGACAGTGAAAAAGCCGTGCTCCCCGGCGGCCAAGCCTGCATGGGCATACCATGTCATGGGCAACGCGGCATTTGGCATTGGGGTGGAGCAGGCGTTAGGAATGAAATGCGAAGCACAAGCTTTCTGAAGCAATGGCAGCGGGAGCCGAGTTCGCAGGTGTTTTTTTTCCCTAGAGTGGAAAGAAAGCACACCTGTGCTGGAAAGAGTGAGCAGGAAGCGCAGGTACTGCAGGCGGCTGCATTTCTTGACCATCACCAAGTGTATCAAACCGTCGCTGCGGTGGCCATATCTGGCAGCAGCAGACAAGAACAAGGCAAAATTTGAGGAAGGCGGATGCAGGGCCTACAAGCCTGCCTCCCAGAAACAGCCACCAGGCAAGCCCTGGCGCAACAGCCGTCCTGCCGCACCGTGCCACGCCCTGCTGGCTCTTCTCGCTGCGGCATGGCATGACGACAAGCATGACCCCAGCCATTTCGCCCTCCAGGTGCACCCACTTGCCGCGCCTGCACAAGCGAAGAGCAGAGAAGAGGAGGGAGGGTGATGCTGCAATGGCGGGCATCAAGGGTGATGCTGCAATGGCGGGCATCAACTCGGGAGCAGCAGCTAGGCGGCTGGTGCAAACGAGAGCATTGCTAACGGTGGTTGAGAACAAAAAGCAACTGCTTGATGCTAGGTCATCGCCCATCGAAAAACCGCCCACCCTAAAACCGCCCGTCCAATCACCTGCGCGACAGCGATCGAGAGCTCACTTCCCTAAATGCCTTTTGCAGCTTCACATGCTCCCGTCCCAGCCGACAAAGGTTGCACCCTGCCACGCAAACCTACAGGACAGGCGGTACAGCCGTGGATATGCATCGGGTACCGTGACGCTCGTCCGCCACACTGCTAGCCGCAGCACCTTGCCAGCCGCTGCTATTTGGTCCGGCTCTGCGGGCAGGTAGCTAATGCGCACGCGGTAGCTGCGATTGGCGGCCAGCATCTTGGCGCCAATCTGCGCAGCACAGGAGCATCAGAGCAATGCAGTTGATTCCCCAAACCCACTGCAGTGAAGGCCTGCAGCAAGCCCAGCCAGATGGGCCCACTTACTACATCGTATCGCATCGGTCCCAGCCAGCGATAGCTCTCGCTTTCTGCCATCACATCCCCCATGAAGCCATAGGACACCATGCAGGTGGCAAATGCATGCTCGCCGCTCGCTGCAGCGCATAAGCCATAGACAAAGCAGCCATGGGGTGAGAGAAGGTGGCAACGGGTGAGAGCGCAAACACCGTGCAAAAATAGGCGGCGAACAAAATTGTGGAGCAAAGCGCCGGGAATTTTTTGCGGGGATTCAAAAGTGGCGCGGGCTCCAGGGGAAAACAAGTGGGAATGCCTAGGGTGTAGTGCCCAAATGGCACCTGCCTGCACCTGCTGCCAGCTGGCTGCCAGCCTGGCTGGCAGCGGCTGGCTGTTGGCAGGTGCGGCAGGCCTGGGGCCTGGGGATGGTACACCCACAGGGCCCAGGCACACAAAACAGAGCATCAGGAGCCAAGTTGGAGAGCTTGCGCTTGCGCCCACGCTTCAACAGCGGGTGTGCGCCCCGGCAGGGTTGGCAGCAGCACGCTGGCGAAGCTGCGGCGACGTCCAGGTGCTACTACAACAGGCGCGGGTACCGCACTTTTTGTGCTGGCCTGCTGGCGCGCTGCAGAAATGCAGCCTTGAGCGGGTCCATGTGCTCGAGGCACCCGGCTTATCGCGAGAAAAGTTGCAGTAACACCTCCTCAAAGATCTGTGAGAGAGTGGGGCTTCATCCCGCGGCCAGTAGGCATGTTGCTGTGTGCTATGCCAGCTAGGCCAAAGATGGCGCAGGTTTGTCAAACCGTTTGAGCTGGAAAACCTCTCAAGGACATAACTGTGGCGCAGAATACAGCCACATATACGTCGCGCCACTATTTTTGCACGGTGCAGTAGTTGCAAAGCAGGGAAGCGCACAATACTCTGCGAACGTGGGCACAATGAATGCAGTAGTGCTGGACCCACCTGTGTCCACTCGCAGCACATCCAATGGGCACCCGTCACCCAGCGCTATGTGCATAGCGGCAGTGAATGCCGACCGTGTACCGTTCAACGTGCAGGCCACTGCATGGGGGAAACCCTTGGGACAATGTGGAGTAGGCCACAACCACGCCTATGTTCAGGAATACAGGCCATGATGCACCACAAGCGCTTATGTGCAGCTCATCATGTCACCCACCTGCATCTGTCGACCCCGCTGGGATGTGCCCCACCCGCATCGATGCTGCAATGCTACCAGTGCGGTGGTGCACGATCTGGGGTTGCGAGTGCCGTGCGCAGCCCGGCACACCAAACATGCTGCTCTTAGCCTGGGCAGCCTCTTGCACCTGCTGTTCCCCGCCATGCTGCTGCGGCGGCTGTCCGCCCTCTACTGCTGTCTGTACCGCCGCTGCTGCTGCTGCAGCGGCGTCTGCCGCTGCCGTCTCTTCAAGGTGCTGCTGCAGCTCGGCCCACTGATGCTGGTCTAGGCTGGTGCCGCTGGTCACGGAGCGAAGCTCAAGCAGGCCGTTGATGATTTCGTGGAAGAGACTGCAAGGTTCAGCGGAACGAGACGAACAAGGATGAGGGCGGGGAAAGTTGGCGAAAAAGTTGAGATGATGGATGAGCGTGTTCCAAGGCAGGGTGCAATCACGCGGGTGGGTGGGATTGAATCTGGCACGCAAACCCAGCCAGAGGCACATCAGGCGGCCATGACTGCCCTCACCCGTCGCCACCAATAGCCACCACACCATCGTACCCCGCCAGCTCCTCGGCTGGCATGCTGATGAGCAGTGCGCGCGCATGCCCGCCATGCTCTGTCTCCACCGCCCGGCTCTTGATGCTCGCTTTGTCAAACACCGGTCGCACCGTTGTTTCCCAGATCTGCTGCGCGCGGCGGCTGCCACCAAAGGGGTTGACAAACACCAGCAGCCGTTGGGGCCTGCATATGGACGAGAGCCGCCGCAGCACATGGCAATCACTTGATGCACGTGTCTGTGGCTAAGCTCAGGCAGGGCCCTGGCAAACAAGTGTAGCTGGCTGACCGACAAGCCTGCGGGCAAAGCCACTTGCCTGCGTGCCTGCTGCACAATGGCGGCATTGATGCGCTGCAGCCACTCCTGCAGCACATTCTCTGCTGCCGTCTCCAGCAGCAGCTGCACGCCGACAAATGGGCAGCCCTTGGAGAGGGCTGACGATTAGGGCACCCAGCGGCAGCTGTGTGTCTGGTCCAGCTGGTGCACTCGCCCGCCTCGCCCATGCATCCACCCCACCCACCTGCCGCGGGTGCCAGCACGCCGCGTTTTGGGGTGACCGGCGGAAGGTCCAGATCACCATGCGGTGCAGGCGGGTGCCCGGCAACCGCCATACGCCCCTGATGGGCGGCAGGACCTCTGCCGACAACATCTCGCTGAATGGAACTGCAGGCAGCCCGTCGGAGGTCACGGTCAGGAAGCTGGACAATGGCAGCGCCACATGGGGGAGGGATGGAAAGCTGCTGCTGACGGGTCTGCGCTAATGCGCCAGGATGGGGTGAGCCCAGCCCATCACCACCAGAGCCACCCACCCAGACCAAGTTTCCACCAACCGACATACTGCAGCCCGGTGGGGACTACATCAGAGGGGTCAGGCGGCTGGGTGGGCCCCCACCCCCAGCCGCCCGCCTGGTGTCGCCAAAATCCTCCCCACCCACCATTTTCGCTGACCCACCATTTTCGCTCCGCACACCGGGGATGCAGCAGTGCCCGAACTCGAAGCTCCAGCTGCGTTCACAGCCAGCGGGGGGCGAATCAAGGCGACTGCCCACGTGTTCCACGCTGCATGTGGCGCTGTGGCCCGGTAGCCTTGGCCTGTGGCGGCCAACCCCCGCCCCGACAACACCGCCGGGGCTGCGGGTGTTCCATGGGTTGTTTGCCTCGCGGCCAGCCTGCCGCCCAGCAGGTCACGCCGCCAAGGCGCTCGGAGGACGTACCTGACGCCCGTCTTCCCCAAGGTCACGGTGGCCTGGTGCCCGTCCACTCTCATTTCCATCCCATCGCCCGCCGCCGCGGGCAGCAGCTGCTCGCGTTGGTAGCGCGTGCTGCCGGGCGTGCTGCCGCTCAGCATGGGTGCCGCCGAGGCTGCCGCCATGCGTGCAGGTTGGGCAATGCTGAGGGAGGCACGACTGCTGCGACGCGCGGGTGGGGCCGGCTCTTCAAACCTGCACGGCCGCCTGGCGGTGAGACCTCGGCCGACACCGGGGGCAGTTTGGCGGCAGCTGGCCAGCACAACCCTTTTGTGGAGAGCCAAATGTAGACACTTCAAAACCGCTGTGGGGTCTGCGGTGCGACTCACAAGTGCCCGAGTTCGGTCGAGGGCGGGGCCCGGGTGCACGTGTTTCTCTGCCTGGAGGCACGGTACCGTTCTGGGCTGGAGGGGCGAGCCCCGGCGACCACGCTTCCGACCAAGTCCTCTACCAGCGGCAAGGCTTCCCCTCGTTTGTCACTGGAGAACATGGGCTCAACATTCCAAATGCGGGGATTCGAAAAACATGCAGAGGCAAATGCGCATGAGATGCCAGCCACGCGCCACCACAGCGCCGGCGCCCTCCTTTCAAAATAAAAAAACTAAGCTACTTGTGCTGCCCCCCAAATGCGATATCTGCGTGGGAGCAGCCAGCGCGTTCCGAGTGACCAGGAATTTGTGAGGCAGGACGAGCGCGGGTGCTAGCAGTGCATTGCCAAAACTGCTCCTGACACGCACCAGCTGCCTCACCGTCGGCGGTGTGCAAGTCCCTGAACTGAAGGGGGTGAGCGTCTGGATCCGGCGGGTGGGGGGTGTCCAGCCCCGGGGCCTTTGCGCGGATCGTGTTCCTCATGATTTCGTCCTCCACCGGCTTGTGGGCCGGAGCCGCCGTCGGGCGTTGCTCGATGGGCTTGCCTGCAGGTTTTGTTGAATTGTTGAATTGAACAATCTATCAATGATGATTGATCATTGAATTGAATGATTGATCATTGAATTGAATGAATCCGCCAACCCTGGGGCGGAGCGGCAGGGCACTGGCATCCGGAACGAGCAGTGACTCGAACGAGGGAGCATACCCGAGTCATCCAGGGGCTCGCCCGTTTCAACACTGATGTCCCCACCAGTCTCCAGCTGCTTCGCGATGGCATGCTCTGGCGTGCCGGGAACCGCCTCCAGCACCTTGTTTGCCAGCTTCGTCACCGTGGTGTCCATTGTTTAGGAGCCACGAGTCTCTTGCGGAGCGGGGTCAACTGGTTGGCTTTAAGGTTGAGCGGGTTGTAACAAGGCGGGTGGGTTACCACCCCCCCGATGCTACGTGCTGTGCGTGTGTGCCAGCTGAGTCAGCAGCCTATACTCTTGCTACAGTGTTTCTGAAAGCTGGCGAAATCGCCAAATGCTGGCGAAATCGGGCCAAAAAACGGCTCTGGCTGGCGATTGGCCGAAGGCCATCGCCAGCCAGAGCTGGCTAAATGAGGGCAGGCGGCGGGGCGACATCGCCAGCGCGTCGCCAGCCCCCATGACTGACATCGCCAATATTTTGAGGAGAAATGGCCAATTTTCCTCAGGAACTTCATTCCATAGTGTTAAACAAGCGCCAGCTTGCTGGGGGCTTCGCCCCCAGTCCCCCCAAAGGGAGGCAAGTGCCGACAAAGCAACAGCGGCGCCGCATGTGGCCGCTGCGCTGTGCCAGGCGCAAGGGTGGCTCCCCCGCATTTCGCCAATCCTCAATGTGCCATCGCCAGCTGATTGGCGAAATTTGGACGCGACAGCAGTCCTCATCGCCCGCCCATCGCCAAAGCTGCCACGAGGGCCAGAAACACTGTCTTGCTATTTCTCATTTAACCCCGGTGGCACATCGCAGGCTCTTTAATCGCATCATACCCTACCTGGCCACTCCTTCCTTCCACCGAGGGGCGGGCGGAGAAGGGGCGGGACACTAGTGCGTGCCAGCTCGAGTTGGGGCGCACCTAATTTTTTGTCTCCCTTTTCTTGAAGCAGCGGGCAGCAGCAGGGGCCCAGCCATGCCCGCACTCTCCATCCCCGCCTTCGGTGCGGCCCTGGGGGTGGGGGTGCAGCTGTATGTGAACGCCGTGCGCAAGCTGCCGCTGATGCGCGATCCCTGGCTCCACGTGCTGTGGGGCGGCGCGGGCTACAGCTTCGGCACCTGGCTGGTGGGCTTTGAGCGGCGGACGGAGAAGGACCTGGCAGGTGAGAGCAGCCATGCACGAGCCAAGGGAGCAACCGGGAGCAAAGAGGAGGGTGGGCAGGCGGTGGGTGCCAGGCGGCGCCGGACACCCACTGTGCAGGGTTGTCACTGTGCTGTGCCTTCCAGCCCTCAGTCTCTCAGCTAGTGGCTGCCCTCCCGATCGCCATGCGGATGAACACCTCGTCTGCGTGCCGCTCTGCCGCGCCCTGAACCAGTGCAGAGATGCTGAGAAAGCGGGACGAGGCCAACAAGAACTTGCAATGAGGACCCGGCAGCCCGCTTGGACGTGTACTGTCGGGCTGGCTCTTGTAACAATGAAGCACAAACCACACGGCATCATGCAGGGGGCACAACAAGGATGCGGCAGGGCAGCTGTAAACCATGCCCAAATAGGGGGACAGGAACCTAAGGCTTCAGGATTTGGGGGGGATGCACCTGCCACCAGCAAAGCCAAGACCAACCCTACGGTGCTCCTGAAGGCTCGGTAGGCGTGGCCAGAAAGGGAGACAGCTGGCGCAGGCCCTCGCCATCCCCATTACTGCCGCCAGCGCTGGCACCGCCCTTGCTGATGCCCGCCTGCTGCAACTCCGACGAGGCCGGCGTTGATGGGATGTCTCCGCCCTTGGGCATCATGCTACTCAGCGAGACATCCGAGGCGATGGGGTGCAGGGGCAGGCTGAAACGTGTTGGGGTGCCCGGCGGCGAGGCTTCCAGCGGCGAGTCCAGCAGGCTCAGCGCACTTTCCGACAGCCTCCGTGCCACAGCCTCTGGACGCATGTTGAGACGCACAGCCTGCGGCAGGCTGCTGCAATCTGCCAGGGACAAACTGCGGCAGGCCTGCAGCACGAGGGCAGGGCAAGGGGGAGTGTGTAAGCCGACGAGGAAGGGCACCCTGAATCCAGCGGGTGTGCACATCGCGGCGGACCAGCAAAGCGGCCAGAGCATGCTGTTCCATCCAACTGGCCCTCCCACCTGCACCAGTCGCTCATGGCTCTGTTCCCAGTGTTCAGGACCCACTGCAGCCTCCCGAACCAGGTCATACACGCGGCTCGTGCGCTGGTGCACCAAATCGTGGTCGGGAACCAGGGTTGCCAGGCGGCGCTCCAGCATCAGCTGGGAGTGGCGGATGCGGCGCCGGGCGGCCTCCAGGTGGGGTGGCAGCGGCCTATGGGCAGGAAGAAGACCGTGTTGGGCACGTCAAAAACACACGGGCAAGGCAGCGCCTCACGTCAGCATGCGCTCTGAGCCCCGGGCCGGCTGAATTGGCTCACTTGCGCATCCACGGGTGAGCATTGAGGCCTGCCAAGTCGATGCGCTCCTCAGCATCCACAAGCATGTGATTCAGAAGATCAAAAGCCTCAGGGGACAGCTGGTTTATGTAGGGTGCCACAAAACGGCTATCAAACCAGGCCCCACTCCTCTCCTGATGCCTGCAAACCAGGGACGAGGGGGAGGCCAGGCGGGCAGTGGAACGGGGCTCAGGCAACGCAAGCAGCCAGCAACAGCGCTCAGGTCACAACAGCGAACAGGTTGGTAGCCTGTTGAGCACAGAGCAACCAGTTGAGGCAACACCACAGCAGAGAAGACCATCGCCTCCAACCAACAGCCCCGGCCATCGTTCACACTCACAGTATTTGCATCTCCGCTGCAGGCAGGGACAACAGTGGGCACGCAAGCCAGGGCTTCACGTCGCCGCTACGGCTGTTGGCAAACTGTACTCTCCCTCGTGACGCAGCATGCAATGTTTTGAGGTGAGGGGGGTTCGCGGGTGGCTTGGGGGTGCGGGTGGGTTTGAGGGTGACTGGGGTGTGCAGGTGGGTGCGGGGTGGCTGGGGTGGGTGGAGCCCGAGAGCGTCGCATGGCGGCGGTTGGCGGCGGTTGACGGCGCCCGGCGAGGGGCTCTACACAGCGAATGCCCGGCCAGGCCTACAACCAGCAACCCAGCCGCCCTGCAGGCCAGGAGCTGGGCCATGGGCAAGGGTGCGCAGCGCCGCAGCGGCATGGATACGGCATGCCGCCGCAGCGCCACCCCACAGCAGCACATGGTGCGGATGCTCCGCCCATGATGCCGGGGCGTGTGATGGGGCCCGCGGCCCCACAGCACCGCAGAACGCGCAGCCTGCGGCACTGCACCAGCATGATGGGGCCGCCAGCCGCCAGCCAGCACCTCGTCATCCAGCCAGCCCTCCCCCGCAGCCAGCCACCCAGCCACCACCCAGCCACCCAGCCACCACCCACCCCCACCCCGTCCCGCCTCAAAGGTCGACGACCACGCCGCCAGGGAGGGGCGGCTTGCAAAACAGTGGCTTGCAAAAAGTGGGTTTGTAAAAGTGGGGAAGGAGCAGCAGGTACTGGGGGTTCGGGTGGGGGAGGGGCGGGTGGGGTGGCGCACAGAGAAGGCAAAGGGACGCAGGAAAGGTCCCAGGCGCGATGCAGCGCCCACGGCTGCCCCCACCTCAGCCACCCCCGAACCCACCCCCACCCCAGGCCACCCCCACCGGTCCTCAAACACGACGCGCTCTGATTCGAAAGTGGTGCCATGCTGCACAAGGCACCCTCTCTAATACATACCTTGAACGTCGTCCACGTTTGGCCTATTGTCATAGGGAAATGCCCCGAAAAGAAGAGCTACAAGCCAGATGCCTGCCGCCCACACATCCACCTGCAAGCACGACACCATTGACGCCTCTGGGCATGGCGGCAGGTGAGTGTTGATCATCACAGGGCAGCTTCCAGCCGTTGCCGCAACACCTCGACTGGGTCGTAAGGGGCGTGGGTCGCGCGGTTCTCTATGAGTTCTGGTGCCTACAACGCAGGGGGAGGGCAGAATGCGGCTCAGCTACCCAGCAGCAAAGGGAGAGGGAGGTGCCAACTGCTGGGAAGGAGCTGCCACTACACCATGTATACCGCCGTCCCAAGATGAGTTTTTGTCCTTGTCAGCCGAGAGCCTCCCCAGTACTTGGCAAACTGCGGCAGCAATGGGTGTTGAGCGACAGAGAGCTGGAGGGCAGAATATGCGGCTCCGGTACCCAGCAACAGATGCATCAGACAGGCAAGCAGCGCGAGAGGCGAGGCAAGAGCCATGCCTGAAAGTCGCAGAGCTTGACAGTCGGCGGCTGCTGGCCATCCATCAGCGTGTTGTCGAGCTTGATGTCCCTGCAGACGCAAGACTCGGCAGGGCATATGGAAAGTGGCTTTAAAAAGTATTCTTCCAGCGCACGCACCTATGTGCGACGTGATTCGTATGCAGGTGATGTATGCCGGACAGCAGCTGCCTGAAGAGAAAACGAGCAAGGCCTTCATCAACCACTAGATCCAGCCTCCCAACGTTTGGTATCTGCATGGCCAGGCGAGGCGCTCATGAATGACGCTGCCAAGAAGCCACCTGCGCCCACCGCCCACCACCCACGTCCCAGCACACCTGCTGCGCCACAAACTCTGCAACGCTGCCACCTTCCTCGTAGTCTAGCACTAGAGCCAGGTGCGAGGGCGTGAGCGCCACCTCGGCTATGTGGGTCATGTGAACCGAACTGACGCAGGTAGCAGCTTGGATCTGCAATACAAGGGAAGAGGATGGGCCCTGACGGACCAGTACCAAGGCAGGCACTGCACACAGGTGTTTGGGGCTGCGGCTGGACAGCAGAGGCAATCACCGTAAGCTCGTTAAAGGCAAGGCGGATGGTACTGCGCGGGATGGGGCGCTGCTGCAACTTCACGGCGTAATGGGTTCCAGATTCCAGCTCACGGCACAGCCACGTTTGCCCCGTACCGCCGCGGCCAAGAAGCCTGATGGGCTGATAAGCTGATTGCAGGCCAAACTGACCGCCTGCATGCCAAGCTCAGGCTCCTTGGCAACGGCCTGGGACCGGTGAATCTGAGCGCCGGCACAAGCAGCGCCACAGCAACGCTACTCGCAATTCCCACCCGCCACAGGCTTGCAAGGCCACAGCAAGCATCGCACCCAAGGGATGGAAGGGTTGCAGCCTGGGATGCCGGATCAGGTGTGCCAGGCTATTTTCCTGGCTCAGGTGATCCATCTGGCCGTTTATTGCCGGGGCAGATGGGTGGGGTGGCGGCGGCGCGGAGGCCAGCCGCCCGGCACCGGCGGAGGAGGAAGACGCCTCCTCCGCCTCGTCCTTCCACTTTTTGAGTGTGCTCCAGCAGGCGCCCATGGGTTCAGGGGCCCATCAGAAGGGATCAGTGGGCGAAAATAGGCGGGGGTTGCCGCCGGGTTGCCAATGGATCGGCTGCGCACGGCCCCGGCGAACAAAGAACAGGTTGTGCACAAGGAAAAGAAGAGGAGGCTACGCGCGCTCGGGTTTGGATGAAAATCGGAGGGGGCCGCCTCATGGCGCTAGCGCCTCCCGAGCGGCGAGCGGCGGTGCCACCGTTTGTCTCTGCACGGTGCCAAACGAGGTCTGGGAATGCCAGGCACGCGAAGCGATATATGTGGCGAGCCATGGGCAAGAGGGGCGGTTCTGTCCTAGCTGGGAGAGGGTAGGACAGCATGCCGACAGGGCCGACGCCAGCCCCGGGGGCCCCATCCCAGCTTTCCCATCGTACCTACCTCTCCCAGCTGCCGCCGCCGCCAGCCCCTGGGCCCCATCCCAGCTTTCCCATCCTACCTACCTGTCCCAGCCGCCGCCGCCGCCCCCCGGCGGCGGGTAGGAAAGGTAGGCAGGATGGGAAAGATGGGACGGGGCCCAGGGGCTGGCGGCGGCGGCAGCTGGGAGAGGTAGGTACGATGGGAAAGCTGGGATGGGGCCCCCGGGGCTGGCGTCGGCCCTGTCGGCGTGCTGTCCTACCCTCTCCCAGCTAGGACAGAACCGCCGCTCTTGCCCATGGCTCGCCACATATATCGCTTCGCGTGCCTGGCATTCACAGACCTCGTTTGTCACCGTGCAGAGACAAACGGTGGCACCGCCGCTCGCCGCTCGGGGAGGCGCTAGCGCCATGAGGCGGCGCCTCCGATTTT